AGTAGATCTCTGTGAGTTCAAGGCTACTGTGGTCTTTCAGGCCAGCCAGAATCATATAGTGAAACCCTATCTCAAAACACAAAAGCCCCAGCATTTTCAAGGATTAACCTATTGTACCTTTTTTTTTTTTGAGGGGGGGGTGTCAAGCATTTTTCTTCCTTTTGTTGGTCCTTTTTTCTTTAGGAAGAGACTCCCTGGCTCAGAAAGTTTTGTTGAGACCCATATGTTTACGTCCAATATATTCTCTCAGAGTATTAGAAGTACTTCAGCCAGACTTTTAAGCATCCCTTGCACTATAAATGTACTTTCCATCTGTCTGTCCTGGAGCCCAGGCTGAATGAGCTATATACAAAGTTAAAACAGTATGTATCCAAGCTGGACAGTGGTGGCCCACACCTTTAGATCCTGGCACTTGGGAGGCAGAGATAGGGGATGTTTGTGAGTTCGAGGCTAGCCTGGTTTACATAGTGAGTTCTAGGACAGACAATGCTGCTACACAGAGAAACCCTGTCTCGAAAAACAAAAACAAAAAACCACCACAACAAAACAGTATGTATTTTACATTTTCCTTCTGAAACTAGTTTCAGGAAAGAAAGACGCTGGCATTGAGTGGTCGCATCTAGAGTAGAATGAGTCAAGTTCTTCTCCATCTCCAGCTGCGAAACTTGTTTGCTGTCTTAGCCAATTCCACGAAACACATTGCCTGCAGAGTTCTAGCCCAGAAAACCTAGTGCCATAGTCCTGAACTAGACTGGGAAGTAGTTTGTTATGTGGTGGCACGCGTTTCTGGTGTCTGGGGATTTCTGGGTTGTAGGGAAGAGGTAGAGGGCAAAAGAGAGGAGAGGGTCTTTTCTGGCTTTCTTCATGGCAGGATAAATATCCCCCCCCCCAAATAAGGGCTAAAGGAGCATATATGAAGGCCAGAGGATAGATAGCTTGTTAGAGTCAGTTCTCTCTTTAGACCATGCAGGTCCTGAGGACTGAACTCACGTTGTGAGGCCTAGTAGCAAGTATCTTTACCTGCTGAGCCATCTCACTGGTCCTGTTAGTATTCTCTTGAACCTTCTAAATGTTGTGGTTTTTCCTGAAGTAATAATGTAAATATACCTTGCAGAGTACCTCAGAGTTACCCAGAGAATGTTTGCCCAAAGGTCTTCTGCCAATTGTTGGAATCAAATGATACAATTACTGTGAATGCCCAACAAAAAGGAAAACTTCCTTTTCTTTTCTCTTCTTTATTTTTCTTTTCTTTTCTTTCTTTTTCCCCGAGACAGGGTTTCTCCGTTGCTTTGGAGCCTGTCCTGAACTAGTTCTTGTAGACCAGGCTGGTCTCAAACTCACAGAGAACCACCTGCCTCTGCCTCCCAAGTGCTGAGATTAAAGGTATATGCTACCACCACCCGGCCAAAAAGGAAACTTCTAATTAGGGGCAACATAATGTACTCATAATAGTCAGGAATTGTGAGAGTAAGTAGCAGTGAGAGAGATAGTCTTTTTTCATTGGCCATAATTTCTTCACTAAAGCTGGTATTGCTTCAACCACCTGAGTTCTGGGATTATAGATATGTGCCATCATACCTAGCTCAGTGTCTTCTCATCTGATACAGATAGAGTAGGTACTGGTTGAAAGAACAGAGACCCAGAGACATATGTACAGGTATATCCAGTTAGCTCTTCCTGGATCACAGTTTCAAAATGTTGTTGGGGCCCAAAGCTCCAGAGAACTAAACTGATAAACTAATGCACAAGGACCTCTTGCTTATAGTTTTTTTTTTTCATTTTCAATTACCACCAATCAACTGTTCAGAATTTAGTGTTTGTTTTATTCATGATCTCTTATATCCCACACTGGCCTTGAACTCACTGTGTAGCAGATCTTCCTGTCTTCTTCCCAGATGTAAGGATTATGGGCATGTGCCATCAGGTCTGACTTTTTTTTTCTTTTTTCTTTTCTTTTCCTTCCTTCCTTCCTTCCTTCCTTCCTTCCTTCCTTCCTTCCTTCCTTCCTTTTTTTTTATTTTTTTAATTTATACTTATGCCCGGGCTGGTTTCACTAAACTCACAAGATATTTATTCCTACCTCAGCCTCCAGAGTAGCAAAACAACAGGCATGTTCCTCCACATCTGGCACAGTCAGGAAATAATAAATGAAATTAAGATGGAGTGTGGTAGTACACACCTTTAATCTCAGAATTTGGGAGGGGGAGGAAGGCAGATCTCATAATTTAAGCCAGCCAGTTCTACATAGTGAGTTCCAGAACAGCCTGGACCACATAGTGAGACCTTGTTTCAAAAATACAGGGTGGGGGAGGGGCTGGAGAGATGGCTCAATGGTTAAGAGGGCTGCTTGCTCTTCCAAAGGTCCTGAGTTCAATTCCCAGCAACCACATGGTGGCTCACAACCCTCTGTAATGAGATCTGGTGTCCTCGCTGGCCTGTAGGCATACATGCAGAATACTAAGAATACTGAATACATAATAAATAAATAAATCTTTAAAAAAATACAGGGGGGAAGAAGGGGGGGAACCAAAAAACAGTGTCTTGATTACTTTTCTGTTGCTGTGAAGAGACACCATAACTAAGGCAATTTATAAAAAGACTGACCTGAAACTTGCTACTCAAAAGAGATCTGCCTGGGACTAAAGAGGTAAAATACTACACTTGGCCTGAGTTTTTTAGTTGTTTGTTTTGTTTTGTTTGTTTAAGACAGGGTTTCTCTGTGTGGCCCTGGCTATCCTGGAACTTGCTCTGTAGCCCAGACTGGCCTCAAACTCAAATCCACCTGCCTCTCTCTCCCAAGTGCTGGAATTAAAGGTGTGCCACCACTACCTTGCTTGAATTTTTTTTGTTTTTTCAGATGTATTATATTTAATTATGCATATATATGTGTGGATCTGGGTGTGGATATGTATGTGTATGTGCCAGTGCCAGCTGAGGCCAGAAGCATCAGATTCCCTTGGTGTTGGGGTTATAGACAATTGTGAGCTACCCATCATGGATGCTGGGAATCTAGTTCTGATGCTTTGCAAGAGCAGTCTGGACCTTGAACTGCTGAGCTGTCTCTCCAGGCCTGTAACATGAACAGGGGCCCTGCTTGTTTGGGGTTTTTGTCCTGTCCTGTACCCCCAGGTGTTTAGCTCCAAAGAAAATCACACATAGGTCTCCATAAATTATAAGCTGATTGGCCCATTAGCTCTAGCCTCTCACTGGCTAACTCTCACATCTTGATTAACCCATTTTTCTGATCTATGTTAGCCATGTTGCTCGGTACCTTTTTTTCAATGGGGCAGATCACATCCTGCTGCTTCGGTGGTCTGGGCAGGAGTGGGAGGAATCAACTTCCTCCTTCCCAGAATTCTCCTGTTCTTATTACATCATTTCTATTTCCTGTCTTTTTCCCGCCTATATTTTCTGCCTGGCCAATCAGCATTTATTTATAACATGATTGACAGAATACAAACAATTCTCCCACACCACAGGCCCAGCAATAAGTTTTAACATGGGTTTTACTCTCAAGTATCATGATAAAATCTTATACCATTCTACCTGAAATATGCCTTTATCCTATGTATACAAGATATATCTGCTGGCTCATTTGTCACTTAATGACTATCCCAATTATCAGATTGTATTGTATTGTTAGTACTTGCGTTCAAGTAACCCATTTTTGACCTAATGGCTCTAAAGAGTAGTAATACTGGTAATGTTATTGCAGTATTTTGTTATAATTGTTCTGTTTTATTAGTTTGAGTTTTTTTTTGTTTGTTTTGCAATGTGTAGTCCTGGGCTTCCTTCATATGCTAGACAAGTGTTATTCCACTGAGCTACAGTCTTAGCCCTGGTGGGCTTTTATTTTATCTTATATTTATTTTTGTCTTTGTTTTGTTTTAAAAGGGTCTTGGTAAGACTTATGTTAGTCTGGAGAGTCTGGAGCTCAGTTTCCCTGCTCCCTTCTCCTGTGTACTGGGATTATAGGAGTGCACCATCCAGCCAAGGAGTGTTAATCTCTTATACATAATTTATACATTAAACTTTTGAGATAGATATATATGCATTGGGTTTGCTAATATTTAGGGTTTCAGGCATCTGCTTGTGATCTTGAAGTATATTTCCTAAGTATATTGATTTGATTGATATTGATCAAGGATTGAAATGATCATTTTCCTATGTTCTTCCTTGGATAGGAGAAAGTGGCATTGGTGCCCAAAAGAGACAAAGAGGAAGATGTGACATTATTACTAAGAGATGTGACATTATTGTAGCGAGTACCACAAAGATATAGACAACTTATTAAAAAGGGGGTTATGGGGAAAGCAGACTCATGGAGCTAGGAGCTGGCCACATGCTGCTTCACGGCACTTGACCCGGTCTTCATCAACCAAAAGAGCATGTGGCCTCTGTCTATCTCTTTTTAAGAGATCATGTTCACAGACAAGAAGCCACGCCTTAAGGCTGGTACTCCAAAGTTATTGGTGGAATGAATTTCCGTAATACATTATGAATAATACATAAGAACATTAAATTTTTTTTATTATTTATGTGTGTGTGTTTGTGTATACATGTACATATGTGCACAAGCATGCCACAGTATGTGTGGAGGTTAGAATACGTGTAGGAGTCAGTTCTTCTATCATGTGGGTCCTGGGGTATGAACTTAAGTTGTCAAGCTTAGTGACAAGTACCCTCACCTGCTGAACCATCTCAAGGTCCTAAGAGCATTTTTTAAAAGCTGACTGACTTCTAACTTGTGTCACAGAGTTAATTTTGATAGATGTTTTGTAGCAGGGTTTTTAGTTCTATATAGTTTAGTACTGTTCTGAACGTTACTTTGTAAGGAAGGGGTGTGGTTTGCTCCCTTGAGTTGAAGATGCTGGCTCTGGTGCCATGACCATCTGGGTTTCATCCCTGATCTCTTGGGCCCAATCTTCTATCTGGACCTGCTTCTCTCCTCGTGCCACACGCTGTCTCTGTTGCTAACGGGTCTTCTTTCTGTGCTCTAGGCTCCCAGAACCCTGGCCGAAGCTCTCCTCCACCTGGTTATGTACCTGAGCGACAACAGCACATTGCCCGGCAGGGATCCTATACGAGCATCAACAGTGAAGGCGAATTCATCCCAGAGACCAGTGAGCAGTGTGTGAGTATGGGGGGATAAGATGTACCAGGACCCATTCAGACCAAGGTTGTGATGAGGCCTCTCAGTGACACATAACAGACCTGAGGAATTTGATGCCCATCCCATAGTTCTTTGAAAACCAAACCTGCCCCAAGATGGATTATTCCTTTGAGAGGCCAAAGGTTAGTTCTTTTTAAAAATGAGATCTAAATTTCTTAAACTCACTAGTGTTAGGTGAACACTTTATGGTATTCCTCTTTAGGGCCTCTCACTAGGCCCCTTGCAAAACACCATGCACTGTACTGTTTGCAGACTTCTGCCAGTGGTCTGGTCTCAGTCAGCAGTTTTAGCTAGGAACAACCCTGAACTGACGACAGGTTATGTCTTTATTGGCTATATTTTAGTTTTGCTATTTTTGTGAAGGTGTGTGTATGTAAATTATTAAGAAGAAAATAAAATAACATGATTTTGCTAATAGCTGTATTAGTTATCTATTGTTACATAACAAATTGTCACAAATTTGGTCTTAAACCAGTATACCTTTATTATCTTAGTGTCTTTAGATGGGGAGTCCAGACATGACGTAATGGGTTTTTTCCCTCATGGTCTCACAGGGCTACTACAGTCAAGGTACACACCAACTGCATTTTCATCCTGAGCTTAGAGTTCTTATCACAGTTTAGTTCCTTACATTTGGTAGAACTGTCGCCCTTTTTCTTTGCTAGAGATTGTTCAAGGATTCGCTCAGATTCCAGAAGTTGCCTGCAGTTCCTTATTATCAATCTCTTATATCATGGCCTTTTTCAAAGCCAATCTAAGCTCTATTGTTCCAGTCTACAAAGTTGGAGTTGTCATCTTCTTTTTTTCTGTCTTCTTTTTGGTTTTTCGAGGCAGGGTTTCTCTGTGTAGCCCTGGCTGTCCTGGAACTTACTACATAGTAAGGCTGGCCTTGAACTCACAGAGATCCACCTGCCTCTACCTCCCAAGTGCTGGGATTAAAGATGTGTGCCACCACCGCCCGGCAAAATTGTGGACTTCTGTAATATAAATGTAACCATGGGGATGGGCATTCCTATTGTCTCTGCCTTAGTTTATTGACTAGAACCAAGTCCTTGAGGCACTCAAGGGAAGGGTGCCTCATTGGTCACCTGATAGTGTGTCCACCACAGTGGCACACCCATTATGATGGCTAGCTTTTAACCAGTAGCTTACTTAATAGAAGTGTAATAAAAATTACACTTTGGGTTAGTAAACTGATTAAAGATAAGATCTCTATTTGGGGGCTAGAGAGATGGCTCAGCGGTTAGGAGCATTCTTCCAGAGGTTAGGAGCTGCTCTTCCAGAGGAGACAGGTTCAGTCCCCAGCACCCACAACTTACAACTGGCTGTAACTCCAGTTTCAGGGCTTCTGACATCCTCAAAGAGATATAATGTAGGCAGAATGCTAATGATCATAAAAAATAAAAATCTCTTTTATTTCTGGGTTTTTTGTTTGTTTGTTTTCAAGGAGCTTGTCTTTATTGCAAAGAGTTAAGTTCATCAGGTTTCTGGAATTTGACTTAAGAAGAAAAATTTCTAACAGAGAAAATAGCCAACAGAAGGAGCTAGAAAGATGGCTCGGAACTGAGTTTGATTCCCAGCACCCATGTCAGATAGCTCACCACTGCCTGTAATTCCAGATGCAGGAGATCTTACACTGTCTTCTGACCACCATGGGTATTTGCATCTATCTCCCTCCACACACACAATTATACATGAACACAAACAAAAATGAAAAAATCTTTAAAATGGAGGTGGGCTGGAATGATGGTGCAGCAGTTAAACGTGCTTGCTGCTCTTAGAGAAGACTCAAGTTTGGTTCCCATCACCTATGCTGGATGGTTCACAACTGCTTATAGTTTCAGCTCCAGGAGCTCTGACATCTCTACTGTACTTACTGGGCTTCTGCACTCATATGTGCACATACACACACACACAAACACACACACCGAAAAAGAAAAAAAATTAATACCAGTACATGTGGGGTTTTACAGAAAGCTGATTCCTGTAACTTTCATTATTCAAACTATATGGGCTATAGGAAGCCCTTTATGCTCTTCCTTCTGTGCTCCCTCTTCCCAGGGAATTTCATGTAACCTGGACGGCCTTCAGCTGCAGATTTCTTTCGTGGTCAGAAAATACTATTTGTGTGTGTTGACTGTGTACAGATGTCTCTTTTTTGTTGTTCCCTAAACAAGATGATTTAAAGCATTTACATTATATTATTATATATAAGTAATCAAGATGATGTAAAGTTTACAGGAAGATATGTGTGTAGTTTATCTACAAATACTGCATTATCTTATATAAGGGACTAGAGCATGCATGATCTGATATCAGCAGGAGTCCTGGAAGCAGCCCCCATGCAAATAGAGATGACTGTATTTTGAATTTGAAGGCTGCACTCCCATCCTTACCACTCCTCCGTCAGGAAAAAAAAAATGAAGCCTTTAGGTTAGGGGAAAAATATGTTCTGGCCGGACAGTGGTGGTGCACACCTTTAATCCCAGCACTTTAATGCCAGGCAGAGGCAGGTGGATCTCTGTGAGTTCGAGGCCAGCCTGGTCTACAAGAGCTAGTTCCAGGACAGGTTCCAAAGCTACAGAGAAACCCTGTCTCGAAAAACAAAACCACGTTCTGAAGGTTCTTTGTTAATGGCATTTGACTATAAGCTAGAATGTTATTTAATTTACATAGATATCTCTTACCTCTGTTTTAGTCAGGAACTGGGAATTTGTTTTTTTTTTTTTTTTTGGCACCAGTTATTTACTCCCTAGTTTTATGAGTTTAGATACATGTCTCCTAACCTTTCTTGGTCTGCAGTATTCCTCTGTGAAATGAGTTAATGCTTGTCTTTGTAAATTATGAATTATAGAGTGTAAACAGAAGCATTAGGTTCCCACCCAAACTCCACTGGAGACTTCTGCAGGGCAATACCATTTCAAGTGCCAGACACTCACTAATATTGATGGGCCAAGAAAATGCCAACAAGAAAAGACAGTGTCTTTGCTTTGCTCTATTGGCAGAGCTCCTAGGGATGCTGGCCAAACATTTTCCTTCATCCTAGAAGCTTGCCTTTCAAACTAAGGGAGAGAATCACACCTTATATCTTTCTTTCACTACATGGGGAAACAAAGACACTTCCATATTTTGACAAAAAGGACCATATGCTAGCTCTGTCTGGATCTGCTAGCTGGGATTGAGTGGAAACTGTGGTTTGACTGTGTGGCTTGCCTTTCAGATGCTAGATCCCTTGAGCAGTGCTGAAAATTCCTTGTCAGGAAGCTGCCAATCCTTGGACAGGTCAGCAGACAGGTATGAAGGTATGGGTGGTTTGGGGGCTTAATGAGTAGGCATTTTTGGAATGGTTTTAGAAGAAGTGACTAGTCCGTGTCCCTGATACAGCCATAGGCCTAGGATTAAAACGGTGTGCTTTTAGAGAGGCCCTCAGTTTCCCAAGGACTGTCAGAATGGTTTGGTGCTCAATAAAATAAACTTAATGATAGCTTAGAAGAACAGTTTTTTACTGTGTGCTGTGTTGTTCACAGTGCTTTATGTGTTTTGACTCTGCACACACTATAGTCTGCCTACTTTTCCACCTTATTACTGTGATTTGAATTGAGAAGCAATAGCTTATTGAAATTTGGGGGAAAAATGGAATCTCACCCATAGGTTGGTCTGCCTGTTCTTTTCTTTCTCCAAAAGTTTATGGTTGAAGAAGAAGCAAGCTTAGAATAATGAGAAAACAGAATATCCAGATTTCGTAACTTAACTTTTATCTCTTTATGTAGAATGTTTGTTCTTACACTTAGAATCAGTGCTATTCTTTATATACCAAACAACTGTGTCGAGGATGTGTTGTGTTATTTTGTTTTGGTGACGAGTTCTCACTAGATAGCTGGTCTGGAACTTACAGTCTTCCTACCTCAGTTTCCTATGTGGCTTGTGAGGGTGTTTGCAGCAGACCTTCACTTCTTTATGTCTGAGAACTCATTTGATTGGGGATTGGGGAGTAGTCTGGGGCTAGGAAATAGGAATAACTTCCTTCTTTCCTTAATTGTGTGATCAGTTGATGAAGGTACTGATCTTGTGACTAATCTATCACCATCTTCTTCTAGATGTCACAGAATACACACATAGTTATTATTATGTAGGTTTCTTTGGGACTTGCTCTCCAATCAGGGAACAAAACAGTACCAGTAAATATGACAGGAGGTGCTACCACTGGCCAAACTCTCAGCCAGAACAGGGACTGACTGTAGCTTTGGACTATTCAAAACTGTAATGTCAAGGGAGGATGGTGGTCCAGTTGTTAGAAAGTAGGGCAGCTCTCCAAAACTATCTTGAGTTTTCTGACCTCAAAAGATACTTGGAGGACTAGGGAGGTGACTTGGTTAGTAAAGTGCTTGTTGTCCAAGAATGTGGGTTGAGTTCAGGCTCTCGGAACCCAAGTAAAACAGCTGGGTACAGCACTGCACATCTGTAATCTCAGTGCTGGGAAGGTAGAGACAGGAGGATAACTGAGGCTCACTAGCCAGCCAGGCTAGCTGAATCTGAAAAGTTCAAGGTTCAGTGAGAACCTCTGTCTGTAAAAATAAGAGGAACAACAATTGAGAAAGATACCAGATGTCAACCTCTGACCTACACATGCACACACACATCCACACAATACATGCACACTCATACAAGGTACTGGCTTAATCAAAGATTCATTCAGATTTAACTAGATGTTGAAAAGGTAGCTTAAATTTATCAACTTCCCTCTTAGTTTCCCCATCTCTAAAATGAGATGGTAGTCTAAATAACAGACTGGAGTAGCATAATGTCCTTGGCACATAAAGTAGAGTCTTAACCTGCAGGTGATCAGTGAAGAATAGTAATAACACAGCAGCTGCTCAATAACTGGTTCCTGCTGTTTTATTATGTGTTCCACCTTATGGAGGTATGAGGAAATCCTCTGTAAAATTAGAAATCATTCTTTGCCAGGCAGTGGTGGCTCACACCTTTAATCCTAGCACTCTCTGAGTTCAAGGCTAGCCTGGTTTCCAGAGTGAGTTCCAAGGCAGCCAAGAGTACACAGAGAAACAAAAGAAAGAAAGTGTTCTTTACACTACAGTGTTTTCATTATTACTGCCTAAGCCAAGTTGGTTTATTGTTGTTTAGCTTGATTTCTTCACCTGGCATAGAGATTAGAGATTAGGAAAAAGGCCAGGAATAGAAAGGGGACAAACAGCCAGCATGGAATGCAGCAGAAAAAGCAGAGTTGTCACTCCTGTTTGGCCTCAGGCTAGTGAAGTGGGGTGGTGAGCACCAGAGACCAGGCTCCAGGCAGAGCAGCTTTCCTGCACCTTTCCGTCTGTGAACATCATCAGGAAGGGGGCCACTTAGATACCCTTCCTTCTGCCTCTGGATGTACACTAAAGTTTATTTTGTAGTCTTTTGTTTTTTCCAGCCCATCCTTCAGGAAATCACAAATGTCCCGAGCCAGGAGCTTCCCAGACAACAGAAAGGAATGCTCAGGTAAGTTCCACAGAGCCTAGGTAGGTGCTGCGGGGGTTGGGGAAAGAGTGTCATGTTGGGACCATAAATGCCTCTAAATTGGGAAGACAAAACTGTATGGTACTTTTCCTGGAGCTGCTACTCTAAAATCTCAGGAGGTCTGGGAGCATAAGTGACTCACCTATCTTGACTCACCCACAGTCTAGCAATTCTCCTGTCTTTCTCAGATCGGGAGACCCAGCTCTATGATAAAGGAGTCAAAGGTGGAACCTATCCCAGGCGCTACCATGTGTCTGTACACCACAAAGACTACAACGATGGTGAGTGCTCTACACTGCCCCCTGCTGGTTGGCTGGTGAAAGATCAAAGTTTTGCCTGGAAAAAAAAACACCACAAAAGGGGGGCTTGGGGTTGATGGAAAGGAAACAAGGTACTCCCACTTCTGTGTTTTTCCCTTATTTTTGAGGCATTGTGCCCCAAGCTTGAGGCAAAGAGATTAGGAACTAAGCAAATACGGGGGGTGGTATTGGTAGATGAAGGTGCTGCCACTGGAATGCTGTCCTTGAGTACACAGGTATCCCAGGGTGCTCCCTAATGCCATCTTCTGCAGCAGCAACAGATGAACTGAAGTTGTGGCAGAGGGATCAGGAATAGGATGTTGAACAGAACACGCAAGCTGTGGTTTGCCTTTTGTTGGGTCTGAGGATCAGTCTTATGCCTTCCCTATGTTCAGGGCTTCTTTAGCCAGGCAACTTCCTAATTCCTGTTTTTGTCTTGATTCTTAGGGAGCTAGGATAGCAGCCTTTCTGGCATGAGTCAGGAGGGGTGGCAGGTGGAATGCACCTGAGCTGGTTGTCACTGTTACCTGCTTTGCACATCCGGGTTTGTGGCCAGGGCTCTGACTTGCTCTGTCCTCATTCCTGCACTTCTGTAGGCAGAAGAACATTTCCCAGGATACGGCGGCATCAAGGCAACCTGTTCACTCTGGTGCCCTCAAGTCGCTCCTTGAGCACAAATGGCGAGAACATGGGTGTAGCTGTGCAATACCTGGACCCCCGAGGGCGCCTGCGGAGTGCAGACAGCGAGAATGCCCTCTCCGTGCAGGAAAGGAATGTGCCAACCAAATGTGAGAAGTGTCCCTGACTAGCAGAGTGCTGAGACAGCTAGCTGCAGGGACAAGAGCTCTGCTGTGCCACTGTGGCAGCTCCTCTCAGTAATAAGTGCACCCTCCCCTCAGAGTTTGGAGGAGGAGCCACACCCTAGAATGTAGGCCTAACTCGATGGCTGTAGGATAAGGCATTTCTTCTACCTGGTTTTAATTTTCCTATGTTTAAAGCTAAAGGCCTTTTTGCCACATTCGGGTATTAAGAGCAAGCTAGGCATGATGGTATTATAATCTCAGTACTCAGGAAGCTGAGGCAGGAAGACTGAACACTTAACTTAAGAGACCAGCTTGGGTTACATAGTGAGTTCAAGGACAGTATGTGTTATACACCAAGGCCCTGTCTCAAAAAATGAATAATAGATGAAAAACATGTTCAAGAGCTTTGAAAATAAAGTTATTTGTTCAACACAGAACAACCATTTTACCAGTCCCCTGCTTCTCAGAACTACCCTGTTGACCAAGGGCTTAGGCCTGCAAGAGAAGGAAGGGATGGATGGTACAAGGAGGATCTGAGCAGAGAGTTCAGTAGGACAGGAGGGTGCAAGGACAGAAAGTTCATGATCTAATGTGTGCTCTTGCTCTCTCTCTCTCTCTCTCTCTCTCTCTCTCTCTCTCTCTCTCTGCTCTCTATAGCTCCTAGTGCTCCCATTAATTGGCGTCGGGGGAAGCTCCTGGGTCAAGGTGCCTTTGGCAGGGTCTATTTGTGCTATGATGTGGACACAGGACGTGAACTTGCTTCTAAGCAGGTCCAGTTTGACCCAGATAGTCCTGAGACAAGCAAGGTATGGCCTTCCCCACACTCAAACCTCCAGCTTCTCCCTCTAGCCAAAATACCTATTGAATACTTGCTTAAGGTGATACAAGTTACTTCCTCAACTTCCAAGTTTTTTTGCTATTCATCTTAGCCCTAGCCAAGGGGTGAAGGGCCAATGTCCCAAAGGGTGTGGAGCTTCTAGGAGAAGGACTGTATCCATGCCAAAGTCCAAGCAGCCCAAACTGAGACAATGAGGACTAATTTCCCAAAGGGCACTCTTTGGACCCATTCCCCAAACAGAGCCTTGGTGCAGAAGGAAGCTTATAGAGCTCACCCATTTGTTCCTTTGGAAGTAGAAGTCACATAGTCTATACCTCAGTGTGAATAGACAAATACAGTAGTTACTTGAAGTAGGATTCTGTAGCCCCTTCTCCCTCTTCACTCCTTCCTGTTTGCCTTCTTCCGGGTAAAGAATGCTGTATCCCAAGGTCTACCCAGCATTGTGGCCAAGGACCAGACATTTGAGAGAGTTTGCTATTCTCCAGCTGAAGTTTCCAAAGCAGACCCCTGTGAATCATAGACTAGGGCAAGATAAGCTGACCCCAGGTGGGCACAACTGGGCCCTGAGTGCCCACGTGACCAGTGGTCCCTCTCTAGGAGGTGAGTGCTCTGGAGTGTGAGATCCAGTTGCTGAAGAACTTGCAGCATGAACGCATTGTGCAGTACTATGGCTGCCTGCGGGACCGTGCTGAGAAGATCCTTACCATCTTTATGGAGTACATGCCAGGGGTATGTGCTCTTGGATGCATGTGGAATTGAAACAGAGGGCTTGACCTAGGGCTAGTGGCTGTGGGGGTGGGTCACCCTTGACCTGGGCCTCATCTGATGAGGTTCTGGGAAACCATGTACAGTGATGGCAGGATTGATGTCAAGAGGGCTCTGCCTTTGGCTACAGAGAGGGTGTGAGATGAGAAATGTCCCAGCTTCTATCTAACTTGAGGGTCCTGAAGGGCTGGTTCACGTCAAGTAAGCACCTCTGCCTGGAACAGAGGATCTCCTCAGCCTGGTCTTGGGTCCTACTTGCTTAAGATAAGGACTGTTTTAGGTTTTTTCCTAAACGGTCTGATAGCTCCTGGCAAAAGTGGCCTATACATGCAAATGAGACTCCAATGGATCACTGCTTTGCTACAGTCCTGGGGATTGGAAATAACCTGTCTCCTCTCATAAGCTAGCCCCTGAGGGACTCTCTTGACTCCTTGTGGTCTGTTAGGGCTCTGTAAAAGACCAGTTGAAGGCCTATGGAGCTCTGACAGAGAGTGTGACCCGCAAGTATACCCGGCAGATCCTGGAGGGCATGTCATACCTGCATAGCAACATGATTGTGCATCGGGACATCAAGGGTGAGTAGGGGTGAAGCTGCGGCGGAGGCATCAAGACCTAGGTTCAGCCAGGCATAGTGGTGCACGCCTTTAATTCCAGTGCTTGGAAGGGAGGCAAGGGCAGGTAAATCATTAGAGACCAGCCTGGTCAACACAGTGAGTTCCAGGATAGTCAGGCTACCATTTAGTTACGAGTAGACCAAACACTAGCTTAACTACTCTGAGCTTTCTGAAAAATAGGACCCCAACTGCTTCCTTAATTGGAGATGGGTGTAAAAATTGGTTGAGCAGTGTATGGAAAATACCCTAAAATGCAAATGTTGACATGGGGGTGCTCTCTTTTATACTGTGAGGCTTCTTTGCAGCTTATGTCTAAGTCAGTGGTGGCCCTGGCCTTCAGTCACCTGGAAGGGGAGATAAAAGAAAAATATAAGAGGGTCCAAAGTGGTAGCCTCTGCCCTTTCGTGCCTTAGGAGCCAATATTCTCCGAGACTCAGCTGGGAATGTGAAGCTTGGGGATTTTGGGGCCAGCAAACGCCTACAGACCATCTGCATGTCAGGGACAGGCATGCGCTCTGTCACTGGCACACCCTACTGGATGAGCCCTGAAGTCATCAGCGGCGAGGGCTACGGAAGGAAGGCAGACGTGTGGTGAGCACTGGGGAGTGCCGGGAACCTATCTCCCTGCCTGAGCTGAAGGTTCTCTACTGCAGACATGAACTTGTGAACTTGACAGTGTGAGAAAGGGGGACTGAGGACTTACTATTGCTGACTGGTACACCTAGGGTTTAGATTCAGGGGGTTGGGGAGGGGTAAATGGAATGAATTTTTATCCCAAACAACAAAAGGTTATGGCTAAGGACTTAGGTCATGAGGGTCAAAATCCATATTTGCTGGACCTCTTTTAAGAAGCAAGGTTTGGGCTGGATGTTGTGGCACCTTTAATCTCAGCACTGGAGAGGCAGAGGTAGGCAGATAGCTATGAGTTCAAGGCCAGTCTGGTCTTCAGAGTGGTTCTAAGCCAACCAGGAACATAATGAAATCATTTCTCAAAAAAGAGAGAAAAAAAGAAAAAAAAGAAAAAGAAGGGAGGGAGGAAGGCAAGCAGGTAGGTAGGAAGGTAGGTAGGTTCAGGGGTTAGGGATGACCTAATAGTTATACCTGCTATACAAGTATAAGGACCTGAGTTCAAGTCCCTAGCTTTCACAGAAAAAGCTAGGCATGGTTCCTCATGCTTGTAACTCCAGGATTGGGAGGCAAACACAGGTGGATCCTGCGCGCTTTCTGGCCAGCCAGTGTAACTGAAAAAGCAAGCTTCCATTTCAGTGAGAGACACTGTCTCAAGGCAGTAAGGCAGAGAAGACATTTGTCCTGCTCTGGCTTCTGCATGCACTAATACAGACACACTCAAATGCATGTGAAACACACACAGAGTAGCATATATTCTGAAGACCTAGATTTGTCTCTTAACATGAGTAGACTTAGCCCCTTCTTGTGCCCAAACTGCTTGCATTTGATTTACTTAATTTTTATGTCCATTCTTATAAAGGGCCTAAGAGTTAAGAAAACTTTTCTCCTTGGAAAGTTATCATGGGTTGTCCTATCTGTCTATCATGTCTAAATCCTATCTGACAAAACCTATAAATGTAACCTATATGGCAGTAGGGCTTCTGTAACTGAGACATTATCCTGAATTACCTGGTGGGCCTGGGGTAGTGATGAGCTCCTTAGAGAAAAAAGCAGGTCAGAATGGGTTGTGGGAAATGTGGCAAAGGACAGTCAAGTGGGGGACCAGAAGCCAAGACACACAGTAGGTTTGGGGTAGTTATTGGTGTGTGTGTGTGTGTGTTGAGGCAGGGTTTCTCTGTGTAGCCTTGGCTATCCTAGAACTTACTTTGTAAACCAGGCTGGCCTCTAACTCACAGAGAACTGCCTGCAACTGCTTCTGAGTCCTGGGATTTAAAGGTGTGTCCCATGACCACCCAGCACTTAATAATATTGAATATACTAAATACAAGGCCTTGGGTTCAGTCTCTCACATGAGAAAGACATAGACAGGAAGAAATGCAGACATCCACCAGAAACTGGAAAAGCAAGGAAATACGAGCTATTTACACCAGAAGGAGGCCAACATAGCTATCTTGGAGTCTGTCAGTGCTCTTTGCAGTCTCAGTAAGTACCCTTTGTTTGGTCTGTTTGTCCTTCACTGTGACCTGAGAATGATACTTCCTTTCCTTACAGATGGTAGGGTGGCTGACAGATGACATAAGGTTCTCTCTTGCAGGAGCCTGGGCTGTACTGTAGTGGAGATGCTGACAGAGAAACCACCTTGGGCAGAGTATGAAGCTATGGCTGCCATTTTCAAGATTGCCACCCAGCCGACCAATCCTCAGCTGCCCTCTCACATCTCAGAACACGGCAGGGACTTCCTGAGGCGCATTTTTGTGGAGGCTCGTCAGAGACCCTCAGCTGAGGAACTGCTCACACACCACTTTGCACAGCTCGTATACTGAGCTCTCAAGGCCATGCTGCTGCCAGCTGCCACCTGCTGAGAAGGCCAGGGGCTGCTGTCAGGCTCAGTGAAGTTGCTGCTTCTTCCAGGCAAGGCTAAGGACAATGGAGCTTCGGTCCAGCCATTGTTTATGCCCCTTCTGTCACTGGGACTCAAAGCCAGGATGGGATAGCTGTGGCATCGAGACTGGGAACCCCAGCCTATAAGACCCAAGAGCTCCATCATCCTAAGCACAATGCAGAAGGAGAGGGGCTGGGAACCGTATGTAAGACAGCCATGGCCTCAATGTGTCCTAACACTGCAGTCAGCACTGAAGCCAGGAGGGACTGGGGCAGAGGACTTACTGAAGGGTATGAATAGTGTTATTTCATTCAGAGTGTTATTTTGATTCTCCTCCCAATGTTTGGAGATTACCAGAGTATCTCTGGGCTGCATGAGCCCACTCAAGCCTGAGATAAAGCCCAGCATTCCCCAGCCATCACAAGGTAGGACGTGTGGGCTGCCCTCACTTAGAGCCTCCAGGTTTGGCAGTCCTGTCTTTTACCAAAGATTGAAGAAGCAAATGTTACGCTGCCTTATTCTGGGAAGGAGGAGCCTGCCCCCATAAGCAGGGCCTGAGAAATGGAGCTGCCTCCAGTAACTGGGGAAACCCAGTCTTGTCAATGCAATTGTCTCTGTTTTACAAGTTGGAGTCACTCTTATGCTGTTCCCAGTTTCTAAACTGGAGACTTTGCCTCTGAGCTCTGGAGACCCACGTGGGCTTGGGCTTTGGGCTGGGCAAAGCTGATGGCATGGCTTCTGGCCTGGCATCTGTTCCCTTGCTGGAGCAGAGAAAATAGGCAACACAAATAAGAGCATCTGGCTCTGGCCCCATTGGGCAGTTCAGGAAAATTCGGAGGGCTGTCTCAGGCTCTCTGCATCTCAAACCTGTCAGGCCTGAGCCCACTCCTTTGGGTAGAAAGGAAAGCCCTTGTGCCACCACCAACCATGTCCAAAACCACCAGCTCTGTTCCTTAGCCTGCCTTGCCCAGTTGTGTTCTCAGCCCCATCCCTTGTTCCTCCCACAAGGGAGGATGCCAACAGGGGTTGGGGAGACTCCGAGCAGCTTAGAATCGGCCATATTTACCTCAGCCTGGGTGCTGGTCCTTCTTCCAGCCCCTTCCTTCCCCTCCAAATGTGCCTATTGCTACAGCTCCTCCCTCCCAACTCCCATTTCTTAGGAGTTGTCATTAAAAAAAAAAAAATTAAAAAAAGCCAGTGCCCAGGGATGGGCATCTCCAGGGAGCTGGGGATTAGCGCCAGGCAGCTCTGCCAGCCATGCCCACTTCCCCATGGGCACAGAACAAGCCAAAGCCTTCGTTGTATGTTGACGATGCACTTTTATGAATGTAGTTTCTATCGCTGTTTTTAGCCTTTTCACATCATGTAATGTGAGGCCTTGTACTTGTTAATTTATATCTCAGATCCATATTTGATGGTTTTTATATATATCAATTTTAGACTGTTACCGGTGATGGACTCCTGAAGAGAGAACAGAAATTGAAAGCAACTGGTTTTGCAGATTTGTGTGTTGCACGGTGCCAATTGGGCCTGGACCCTCTGTTTTATTTCCTTCCCTGGGGGTCTCTGTCAGGCCATCCTCTAACTGCTCTGAAGCCAGTGAGTAAGTACTGCTTCCACCTTAGCCTTTGCCCAGGGTGGGGACTGGCCCGGCCCCTATTCTAGACCAAAGCTGCCAAAAGGCAGCTCGGCCTCTCCTTGACCCCATCCTGATGGCTGTAGCACCCCTTAGCCTATCCCCATCCAAACCCCAAACCCCAAGCGGAAACAGAGCTTGGTGGGCTGACAAGATGTCTGATGAGACGACTCTGCTTGTCCCAGGTTCAGGATCTCACAGAGCCCCCCCACAAGGGGTATCTTACCTCAGAGGGAATGTTTCCAAAAATGACTTCAAAGTAAGCCAACAAATCCTGCACTCCAAAGAAAAATAAAGACCCCCCTTTTTTGTGCCAAAAACTGTGGACATGCTGGTTCAGCATCCTCAGGGCCAAGCCATTAATTTATTTTTTCTTACTAATAAATCCACATGAGCAGTTGTAGGGCTCTAGGATGGGCCTGAAGGTTCTGAAGGACGGTCTCAAGCAGCCCTTGCCTGTCGTGCAGAGTGTTATGCCACCAATTGTTTGACATTCCATGGGGTTTATCTGCTTTGGCCAGCCCCACATGGAAGGACCAGGCCTGGGTCAGGTGCATGCGGCCACCCTCCTGGTCCTCCCACTCACCCAGCTCTGTCTGTGTCTGAATTGTGGATTGTGCAGAAGAACCTGCAGCCATAGTTATTGATTATATCTCGACTGAGGGCTTGCAGTGCAAAGCCAGGCCAGTGCATTACTTACAATAAAAGGGATCATTTATATCAGAAGGGTCCTGTGACCATGCTTGTGGTTAAAGGTGGTTGGTAGAAATCTGTACTGGGATGGGTCGGGTGGGGATGGGTGCCTAACACCAAGTTTAGCGACCAAAGTGGGGTCCTGGCCTGACTTGGCCCAGGTGGCCTCGCATTCAACTGAGGCAGCACTGTTGGTCCACCTTATCTGAATACATGTTTTTTTTTTTTTTTTTAAGCTCACTATATAGACCAGGGTTTCGCTGTGTAGCCCTGGCTGTCCTGAACTCAGCTACATAGCTTGTGTAGTTCATAGGCTGGCCTTGAACTCAAGTCTGCCTGCCTCCTGGGACTACGGGTGTTGTGTACCACCACTGCCCGGCACTGCCACTGTTTCTTGATTGAATGCAAGAGACCATTTTGTCCCCATAGAACCAAGGCCTTCCCATCTCGGTTTACCTGAAGGAACAATCCACAGTGGTTCATCTGCCAGCAGGACCAGAGGCTGGATTCCCTGGCAGTCTGCTTACCCTCTTGCTCACCAATCCATCTATCCCACAGGCCGTTTGCAGGAGTCAGGGCAGTAGGGCGTGGGGCAGGACCACCGAGACTTGCGCGGAGGGTGTGTCTTTACACTTGCCTTGCTCCTCTGCTGTGCACTGTCACCCTCAGTGTGCATGGGCTCTTAGAGTAGCAAAGTTTGTTCCTGGATGACCCGGCACAGCAGTTGTGACCTTTCCCTTCCCAGGACAGGCTCTGGGAAGATGACAGCCATGAGAAGGAAAAGGTGGCAGCACTGAAACTGAGCGGCATTTGCTCGTCTGTGGATTCCCATCATTCCTTGCAAATTTCGAGGGCAAAGGACTAGGAGGAAACTGGACAGCTGGGACCAGCTAGCGGAAAGGCAGTCACAGGCAGTCTTGGCCAACTTGTAAAGTTCTGCTTTGGGCCCCACTCCACCTCTGAGGAACTGCAGTGAGACGGGCGGTGGTGATGCACACCTTTAACCCCAGCACTTCTGTGCTTAACAGAGGTAGGCGGATGTCTGAGTTCTAGCCCAGTCAGGGCTCCATACTAAGTGAGACAATATCTCAAAACTGTTGTGTGGATGTGAATCGGTGGGGCCTGGCTTCTCTCCCACAACTCAAAAGGGTACACATTGGGATTCCAGGTTTTGACAGTTTGACATCTTGAGTTGGCAGAGACCAGTTCTTCAAGCTAATGCTTATTGGACAACCATCACCCAGCCCCTTCAAGGTCAGAAGCCCCCCTTTCCCATCCCTGTGACGAGTTTGCATCCTACCTGCCACAAAGCTCCCCCATCAGGCCACATAATAGAGAGTCAAGATCTGTTTAAACATGTTTAAAACAGGGTTGATCACAACAGTCAGAACAGCACAGCGGTGGAGAGGAGGGGAGCGTAGCTACTGCTACCCTGTTAGCTGAGGCTCCAGCAAGGGGCCCCTAGACCCCAAGGCTGTGGGGCTGTCTTGCCTCTTCCCAGCCCCCTCCCCCACCAGTGAGGTGACATATAAGAGGCCCAGCAGATGGCACTCTTCCTCTTCCAATCTCTGTGGCTCAGAACCAGGCTAAGGGCAGAGGTAGATGGGGAGACACGGGGGTGCACAAGGCCCAGGTGGCAGTGTGGGAGCTTGGGACCCTGAGGAGGGCATGCTGACTCCTTGCTGGAGAAAAGGCACCTAAATAGGGAAGCTGGGCTTGTGGGCATCCCAGGGAGCCTTGGGGTGAGGTGAGATAGTCTGAAGGAAGCGGTATGGTGAAAATTCCAATTCTGCTTCCCAGACCTCTACCTCCTATGGGAAAAGTAAGGAATCCTGGAGCAGAGCCCTAAGCCTGAAACCTACCTGAGGGAGCCTCATCCTTTCCCACCCGCTCCCCCAAGCCCAGATCAACCTCCTTCCCACTGGCCAGCTGTAGGCCATGTGCGGGGAGGAGATGGATGTTAGAGGGCCTCAGGCTGTCTTGGTGCCTGAGTCCACCTCCTTGTGGGCCCAGAGCTCCTTGTGCTGTTTACGGCCAAACCCCTCATCGTAGTTGCCTTTGCTCTTAAACAGCTGCTGAAAGTGAGGTTTGCAGTAAAATTCACCGTGCAGTGCAGCATAACTGCCCAAGCTGCGGAAGCAGAGAACAGCTGGGTCAGTCTAGGTCAGGGCTGGAAGGCAGGATGGGGGTGGGGGGCAAGTTAAATGGGCAGGGCAGGGGCGCACCTGAGTTTGGCGTGGCAGTGTTTGCAACAGAAGCAAGAGTTGTGGAAAATGAGCTTGTCTGCCACCAGCCGCTCCATAGGGTACACAGTCTTCTGGCAGGCTGCACAGGTCTCCTTCACCTGAGCCCGTAAGCTAAAGGACTGTGGAGTGGGGTACGGTACACTCAGCAAGAAGCCTGAATCAGCACCCACCCTTTCCTCCACCCACACCCACCCTTGGGCCCCTACCTTGGAGCGCTGCACCGTGCTGCTGCCACTGCTGCCTTTGGCTTCCTGGGGAAGAGGAGCAGTCAGAGCGGGGTCAGCTCTCCGGTGACCCAGCCCAGATCCCAGGGGCACTCGAGAGGTGGCAGAGGGTGCCAAGCAAACAAGCTGCTCCTGTCCCCTTTATCCCTCCCACCTGGCTGGTCACCTACATGAGAGGGGGTGGCCTGGGCGGCTCCGGCAGCCTGGAACATGGCTCTTCGGAGATGGTTGGCGGCCTGGGTGGAGACGAGGCGCCAGGAGGGTTCTGTAAGGGGAAGTCAGTCAGTGGGGCCCCAAGAGCCCTCCCCCATCCTGCAGGCTGGGGTGTTTTTAGGCAGGGGGTTGAGGGGCTGCGGTTGGGACTTTCCCTAAGTCATTTCCTGTTGCTCTGGGTCTTGCCACTTCCGCCCCTCATCCCCCTCCCCAGCCTGCCCGCCCCTCATGCAGCTCCCCAAGGGATCGGGGGTCCCTGAGTGGAAACATATGTAAGGCTAGAACAAAGTTAGCGAGAGCGGCCGGGGACAGAGGGGCTCCGCGGTGCCTGCGTGTGTTTCCAACGGGCGGAGACCCCGCCGGGGGTGACGGGAGGTCAGCAGAGGTCTAGGCTGGGCACCGCCTGACCCGCGGTCCCCCCGCACCGGGCTCAGACGTCCAGCCCCTGGACAGCGCTCGGCCCGGCCTCCCGCCCGGCCCGGCTGCGCCGCCTCCGGCGCCTACTCCTCTGGACCCCAGACCCGAACCCAACCCACCACGGGCCGGCCCAGCGGCACCGACGCGAGCCTATGGGTCCCAGCGAGCGCTGCGCGCGAACCGCCAGGCGGCGTCGGCCCCGCAACGCTCCGCGCCCCTCCCCCCCGGCCGCCGTGGGTCTCACCGGGCCGGCCTGCGCCGCGGGGCGGGGGTCGGTCGCTGGGGGACCGCCTCGGGTGCGAGAGGCGCGGGCGCGAGCTGCCACCGCTGCCAGTGGTCCCCGAGCGGCAGCCGCCGCCTCACCGCGGCGCCGCCCCCGCCGGCCCCCGCCCCGCGCCCGCCCATTGGCTCCGCGCGCCCGGGGCCGCCTCCGGGAGAAGCCGCCGCCGACCCCCCTCTGTGCTTTGTCTTCCCCTCGCTCACCAAGCCCTCCCGTCGTCCCCCCCCCCCTCCTGCCTTTGTCTGCCCCCCGCCCCGCTTTCGCAGCCCGCGCTCGCCCGCCTCCCGGAACCGACCTCCCCTGCCACTAGTGGGGAAGGGACAACGGCGGGGACTGAATCGCAAACCTCGGGCGGGGATGAGTTCAGCCTCGGTCACCACACGAGGCTCTCCCGGCGCGGACCTTCAGAAATGGGTCTGGGCTTTTCGCTGCCTCGGTTTACCCGTTGGCCATTGTAAAGGCCGAGTCCCATTAGCTCCGCCCCCTCCTTGCGCTCCGGGGACCCGGTACCCTGAGCTATTCCACTGTGGGGACTCCGGAGGCAGGACTCCTGGCAGCCACGGAGTGCTGCAGAGGAAGATGGAGGCAGCTCGTGGTCCCTCCATACCCCGATGTCAGGTCAAGGTAGCCTCTCTAGTGGGCCTATGCCACCATGTGAGGGGTGTGACAGATCTGCCACCCCCAGAACTCGCACAGCTGCGTGGTTTCCGAAAGCACCCACCCCCTACCCCTCAGGCCGGGTATTCTAAACGGTTTCTGCGGCCAGATTTTGTGGTATTAGTAACCCCTGGCCTGTGCCATAGCCCAGGTCAAACCCTTAGTTCAAAGTACCCAGTTCCTTGCAGCAAGCACACTTCACTCCACGGAAGGGAGCGGACTTCTTTAGAGAACAAAGTACATCAAGAGCTGCGCCTGCCGCTCAGCCCGCAGGACTGCGGTGCCGCCGGCCATCCGCGGGGTGGACAGCCCTGCACTGGAGGGCCTCTAGGCTGCAGCTTCGGGGGGAATAGACCTCTGCTGGAAGCTTTGCCTGAAGCCGGGCCAGACGCTGTTTCACGAAGCACACAGCCCTCAGCGACACATTCCCACACCCGGGACAGGAATAGAACTGGTGGCTCTAGCGCGGGCCCACGCGTGTCAGTGTACAGAACAGCTCAACGCCTCCCGCCTGGCAGCAGAACGGGGAGGCAGCAGGCTGCACCACCGTCCCCACCAGCCCTCCCACCCCGCGCTGTTTCCCTGGCTGCTCATGCACCCACGCTGTGCTTTACTCTCTCAGTCTTGGGTTCCAGCTCTAGACCATGTTTTGCCTGCAATAAGGCTCAGCCACTGACTTCCTGATGGTTGCTCCTCCTCAGCTAGGGGCGACTCTTCCTGGGGAAATTGTCACACCTGTCATCGGATTCGCCAAGGGAGCTGTTTGATGCAAGAAAGGTGAAGCCCTTAGAGATACCAAGAGGCTGCTCCTGGGCACTGACTGGCAGCCTGCCCTGCTGGGGCCATCTGTGGACTGCAAGGAGGAAGGCAGTGTGGAAGGAGAGAAACGGCTAGCTGTGGGCCCATGTCAGTATTCTGACTACAAGTCATATCCTGATGCACACATGATCACACCTAAAAGGAAAAAAGGATTTTAAAATTAAAAAAAAAAAAAAAAAAACAAGTTGGGCAGGTCTGTAGAAGTAGTCAGGGGCGTCATGTGGGCCTTTCTCACATGCCCTTAAAAAAAAGGTTAAGTGCTCTGTAGTTGTTAGACAAGGTCTCCGGCTATGTCCCTGAGACTGCTGCTCAACGCCCATCCTCTTGTCTCTACCCCCAAGTGCGGGATTTATAGCGGTGTACCACGCGCCACTCCCAGTGTACGCAGTGCTGAGGAGCGGGTCCAATACAACACTGCATGCCTGCCAGGCAAGGGCTCTGCCAACTACGCTGCATTCCCAGCCTCAACTGTAAAAATTTCTGATGGCCTGGGAAGCCTCAGAAAAGGGAGGGAGGACTTCCTTAAACCAACATTCATGCCAGGCAGTGGTGGTGCAATGCCGTTAATCCTAGTACTTGGGGGGTAGAGGCAGGCGATCTCTGTGAGATTGAGGCCAGCCTGATCTACAAAGTTAGTTTCAGGACAGCCTGGACTACTCATAGAGAAACCCTGTCTCAAAAAAAAAAAAAAAAAAAAAAAAAAAAAAAAAAAAAAAAAAAAAAAAAAAAAAAAAAAACAAAAAAAAAAAAAAAAAAAAAAAAAAAAAAAAAAAAAAAAAACAACAAAAAACAAAAAATGAAACAAAAACCTGGGTTTGAAGTGCCTCACCCAGGGGACTAGCCAGGTGGAAACGCACAGAAACAAGGCTCGAGCCGGTCCCCTTGCTCTGGTCACTGGCTGCCAGGACAACAGGTTCTTGGGTTACATGCTAGCTGGGTATTACTACCAACACCAGGAGCCATGATAAAGCCCTCCACCCTTGGCTGTTAGAGCCCTGGTACCTTTTTCAGATAACTTTGCCAAGGCAAAATTTAATATAATACTCCCGAAATTCTAGGGAATTAAGAGACCATGGGTTTTTAAAGAAACTGGTATGTCTGCTTATGAAAGCAACAATGGCCAGGTCCCATACCCACTCGGCCCTCTAGGAGAAAAATGGCCTGTACCTGAGCCTGTCTGGCCACCCTTACAAGCCAGCTACAGTTTCTGCACAGATGGAAACATTAGTGGCATTCCTAACATACTCTGAAATTTTTAATTTGTTCTGACAATGAAACTAACACAACGTAAGACTTACTCAAGCCCTCAGACAAGGCAAGACATTTATGGCCCTTGGAGGAGGCACCAAGGCAGCAGCTGGCAGGGGCATTGGCGGATTCTTGGGAAGGAGTGTAACAGACAGCCGAGCTAAGAGGTTTCAGGTGTCAGGGCCCAAGAAAGAGGTGGGGATGAGGATGACCCGGCCCTGGTGCTTAAAGACAGAAAACTGGGGAGATGCCTGAGGGCAGGGGCAGGATGCTTAGGACTTGTCCCCCATTTAGCCCATACAGGCTCTGGGAGCACAGAAGATGAGTGAACAGCCTGGGAGGAGAGCAAGTGCAGGGAAGAGGAAGTGAAGGGTCCCTGGGTCTGAGTTAAGTTCTGGGCTTGGACTTCAGCCTCGGGGCTAAAGCAGTGTCTCTTCCTTCTAAGGAGGTCCCCAGCTCACAGAACAGGATGTCAGCTTTCCGGTCTCTCCAAGTCCCTGGTGACTGGGACTCCCTGTGTCTCAAAAGCCACAAAAACAGCGAAGTCTCTTCAGAATGTCCTTTCAAGCAGCGGGCAGCCAGCTCTGCCAGCATAATGTCCTTTCTACCCAGTCTGCACCCAGAGGTAGGTGCTGATCCTCAGGAAGGGCCCCCAGGGCTCACACCCCACCCCCACTGGAGGATGCAGGCTGCATTGGCTCAGAACTCCCAGTCATCCACCTCCAGGTCTTCCAGGTTTGTCACCAGGCCAAAGAGTCCACTGTGATCCTGAGTCTGGCTGCCCTCAAAGTTGGTGATAGGGGTGACAGGGCGAAGCAATTCGGGCAAGGCCTCTGAGGCACGTCGCTTGATCTGAGGGAGAGAGAAGTTGGAGGGTAGATCCTACAACTCAGGACACTACAGGACCTTCAGTTACCAGACCAGGGTTCCTGCCCCGTGGTGCCCTGGAGCCAAAAAGGAAAGGCAGGCGAGTGCCTCATAGGGCTTCAAAAACACGGTATTCCTCTAGTTCAATCAGGCAGAGGAAGAACACCTACCCCCACACAAAGGGGTCGGAGGTGAGGGGGTGCCTACAACCACAGAGCAGCAGCAGGGTGGGAACCAGGGGAAAGCTTCCATACCTGCTTGAAGAAGGAGTGGTTCAGGAGGGTGCTGGCATTCGGCCTGAAGAGAAAAGGAAAGAGACTCACATGACCCCTGGGCTCAGCTGTCCAAACCCTGACACTCACCCTCTCCTCCGAGACCCTCCACCTTTTCCCTCAGCTCTCCCAACAGCTACCAAAGCCACCCAGGCTGTCTTCTTAGCAGAAAGCTGGTTCTTCTTGCTGTGGAGCCACACACTCCTCTGGGAATCCAGATTTCTACCTAAGAGCCGGCCTCCCTGCTGGGTGGAAACCCCAAGCTCCCCGTCCCCCGGAAACTCAGCTGAGGGCCAGCAGAGTACCTTGCGTCAGGGCTGCGCTGAAGGCACTGCTCCACAAAGTGGTGGAAGTGGGGGGAGAAGGTTCGGTGGTACGGGTGGGAAGGCGAGTCACCGTTGGAAGGCCGGAGGCTGCCAGTGGCCAGGCTGTCGTTGGCAATGGAACGTGAGGGGCTCATGGTCAGCTCCTCGGCTGGGATGGTGCTGGTGTCCAGGAGGCAGGGCACTGTGCCATTCAGCTTCTCCAGCAGCATCTGGTGAAGAGACAGATCGGGGCTGTGCTCTCGCTCCCTCAACAAATGGGATCTCTGGGGCTGGGTAGGGTTATGACAATTTGACACTAACAAGAGTCATCTGAGAGAAGGGAGCCTCAGGGGGCATTTTCTCTTAAGACAGGGTTTCTCTGTGCAGCCCTGGCTGGCCTCAAACACAGAGATCCGTCTGCCTCTGTTTCCCAAGTGCTGGGATTAAAGGCGTGTGCCACCACTGGCCAGTGGGCATTTTCTTTTTTTTCCAAATATAACTTTATTTTGTTGACTCTTTTTCTTTTAAATGTGCATTGTAGTTTTGCCATGAGTGTTGAGTCCCCTAGAAACTGGAATTACAGTCATGAGCCGCCAGGTGGATGGTGGGAATCGAACCTGGATCTTCTGGAAGAGCAGGCAGTGCTCTTAACCAGAGACATCTCTCCAGCCCACTGGGCATTTTTTAAATTAGTGGCTGATGGGGGAGGGTCCAGCCCATTGCGAGTGGTGGGTTCTATAAGAAAGCAGGCTGAGCAAGCCAATAAATAGCATTCCTCATAGCCTCTTCTTCAGTTCCTGCCTCCAGGCTCCTGGCCTGCCTTCCCTCAGTGATGGGCTGTTTCCTGGAAGTGTGGCCATGGTGTTCCACCACAGCAATGAACACCCTCAGACATCATGTAAAGCTGGCTTTTGCAAAGGAACACTGGCCACTGGCTGGCAGTGAAGGCACATGGGAGGAGGGGCTACAAGTGCCCTCCACCAGGGCTGGACTGAAGAGCTGAGCTTCCTCTCGCCTTTGACAAGGCATGGAACTCCTCTGACTATAGAGCCTGCTCTTGAGCGCAGCGGTGGAGCGACATTAATCTCTGTGAAGCCCAGCACCACTCTGCTAGGCCTAGAAGGGTTCAGTGGAGTCCACGATGTGGCATCTGCAGCGCAGCACCTGGGCTGATGGGCATGCTGCACCTGGGCAGACCCCACCTGGGAGGCTGTTTCAAAGCCTTCAAGCTTGGTACATGCAAAACCAGCCACACCTTGAAGGCAGCTGCCTTTTTATGTGACCCCAGGAACGTCCTGAGCAGCCCAAACAGAACTTGGAGCTGTCTCTGGGATTGTGCTAATATGGGAGCCTCTAACAACGTTACTATTTAAGTTAGCCTTAAATTCAATCCCTCCATCTCTGTGACCACATTTTAAGTGATCACTGTACCAAGTGGCCAGTGGCCCCCTTATTGCAGAAACTGCAGGGACAGATACTTCCATTATGGCAAAACTTTTTATTGGACAATGTTGCTTCTGGACCTGAACCACTAACTAGGTTCACACTAAGTTCATACTAACTGGGTTTTAACTAACTAGCTCAAACTAACTAGGTCCATACTAACTAGGCCCACACTAACTAGGTCCACACTAACCAGGCTCACACTAACCAGGCCCAAACTAACTAGGCTCACACTAACTAGGCCCACACTACGCTCACATTAACTAGGCTCACGCTAACTAACCATCTTATTCCTTCTTGAGCAGATCCTGTTAATCAATTATTTTTCTTACACAATTCTCCCTCCTTCCTTCCTTCCTTCCTTCCATTTCTTTTTGAGATACAGTTTCTCTGTGTAGCTCTGGCTCTCCTAGAACTTGCTCTATAGACCAGGCTGGCCTTGAACTCAAGAGCTGCGCCTGCCTCTGCACCCCTAGTGCTGGGATTAAAGGCGTGCGCCACCACTGCCCAGCACACATTTCTTATATGTAGGCTCCACACCCTAATTATTCTGTCAGAGCTAAATTAAGCTAAGATCGAGGATGGATAGTTCTGAGTCGCCTTTCGGGTAGATAGATGGTCAGATAATCTGCTGTCGTCACCCCTGTGTGTATCTCTGGCACTTCCCTATTCTCTGGGACGTGAACCAAAGATCCTAGAGATCACACAGGTATGCTCTTGCTTCCTTCTCCAGCCTCATCCCCCAGCAGCCCCGAGATGCCTGGACCCAGTCATTTACAATTCTGTGCTGTGCCCAGATCTAGTTCTCTGTTAGCACACGCATGTATGTTGCTGGAAACTGGTCAGGACCCGTGATATCCTAGGCAAGCACTCTACTGTGGTGGAATATTACTTTAACTATGTAAAGATGTGCTACATTTGTTTATGTTGCGGACTATTACTTTAACTATGGGAAGGTGTGCTACATTAGCAGCTTCTGCTGCCTTTGTTAACTATGTAAAGGCATTACATTTGCTTGTGCTACATTTGTCTAATTATGTAAAGATGTGTTGCTGTTTCACCATGCCTCCCTAAAGCACCTGACTGGTCTAATAAAGAGCTGAACAGGCAGAGAAAGACTAGGCAGGCTGGTGGACAAAGAGAATAAGTAGGAGGAAAACTCTAGGAAGAGAGAATGAAGGAGAAACAGAGGAAGACACCAGTCAGCAGACAGAGTAGGACACACAAAAAGGTAAAAAGCCCCAGAGCAAAATGCAGATAAAGAGAAACAGATTAAAATAAGAGCTAACTAAGACCAAGCATTCATACCTAATAAGTCTCTGTGTCATGTATGATGTGGGAACTGGTTGGTGGCCCAAAGAAAAGGCCAGGTACACCCTACCACTGAACCATACTTCTGTCAAGGGCAGGCTTCTGTTCCTGCTCTCGTTCTTTCTTTCTTTTTTAATTTGGTTTTTTGAGACAGGGTTTCTCTATGTAGCCCCAGCTACATAGAGGAACTCACTCTGTAGACCAGGCTGGCCTTGAACTCACAGAGATCCAACTGCTTCTACCTCCCAAGTGCTGGGATTAAAGGCATGCGTACTACTGCCTGGCCTGTTCCCGCTCTTTATATGGTCAACTGCTATTAGCTTTTAAGGTTAGATCAGGGGCTGGAGAGAGGACTCAGTAGTTAAGAAAGCTTGCTGCTCTTACTGAGAACCTGAGTTTGGTTCTTGGCATCCATGTTGGATTACTTTCTACTGTCTGACTCCAGTTCCAGGAGCTCTGACACCCTCTTCTGAACTCCTTAGGCACACACATACATGGCGTGTGTGCGCATGTGTGTGCACACAATTTTTTTTAAGCATTAGACAAAGTATTATCACCCCCTAGAAGTTCCTTTGGTCTCTGCTCAAGGTAGCCGACTCAGCCATTCTCTAGCTTCGGCCTGCAACCCCAAGGTGAGCGATCTGTGAGCCTGAGGGGAGGCCTGCTCAGGCTCTTGCCTCCTCCTAGTTCTAGGTCTTGTTCCTCAAGATTCAGGTGACACTTGCCCAGACAATCCCAACTCCATTTCCTGGGTGTAATAGGGCCTGGACAAGTTTCTTCTCTGGGTCTGTCTGTCTAAGAGCAGACTACACCACTGGCCGTGACCTACAGGCAGGCATGGCAGGGGTATGAGCATAAGCTGGACTCAGAATGCAGGATCTAAAAGTGTGTGCCAGAATACAGTGGCACAATACTCAGAGATGCCAGAGAATTTGAAACTGGACACTGATCATCTAGTTGTACTTAGGAAGGAAGACAACAAATCTGATGAGTTTATAAGGACAGGGAAACTTAGCTAGGCACGGTGGTGCGTGCTATAAACACAAAACTTGGAAAGTGAGGCAGGAGGATTGCTCTAAGTTTGATACTAGCCTGAGCTGCGGAAGAGGCTATTCCACAAAACAAAGCATAACAGAACTGGTCAGTGCCATTCACAGTCTGCAGAGCCATGCAGTGTCCAGTGTGATGTGGCCTCTCTGCACTGCCCTACTCGCCCCGCCCCATGGGTTGGGCTTGGCGACCACAACATTCATCACCAGAGAAGGGAACAAAGAATTGCACAAGCGCCCTCCACCAAGCGGGTGGGAAACTTCTTGAAGCAAAAAGACTGACTCTAACATATTAGTAACCACAGTCAGTGTCCCAGTGTGGCAGGAATCAGTGGGCATCTGTGGAAGGCAGGCAGCAGAGAAGAAAGGGAACACTAGTCTGCAGGCTCACCTGAGTGGCAGGCATATCCTTGAAGGGGACATGGCCATTAGCTAGTTCACACGCTGTGATCCCCACACTGTAGATATCAGACTTGGCATCATAACCCTGAAGATTCTAAGTAGGAAGAAAAAGGCACAGGTGATCCATTTGCAGCCCTGCTCTGAGGAGGTGAATACCCGTCGCAGTCAGGACCAGACACTGACCACGCTCCTCACCTTCCACTGCAGGGAATTGCTGTGTGAGGAGAGCCACTGTCTGGCGCTGCTGCAAAATGAGCAGGCACACTGGCATGGGTGTGCCCGCTATGCACAGAGATCCAGAGCACCAAATATTTCCAGAACGTTCTCTATCTTTAGGGTGCTAAGTGTCCCTGAGGTAGACACTAGGGTCAGGTTGGGGACCCCACACATCCACAGCTGCCAGGAATGGGTGACACAGCACACCTGGCCAACAGGGGCTCTTCCCTCCAGAACCTCTTACTCTACCAGAAACAGGGAGAAGCCCCATCCCAGCAAATTCCTGGGCTTCCTTAGGAAATTATGAGTGGGTGGGAGAAAGGGGCTCCTTGGGCCCAAGGACACAGACCTGCTGGAGAACTTCTGGGCTGAGCCACGGCAGGACCTTGACACTGTATTTTGGAAAATCATGGACTGCACGCTGCCGCTGCCCATGGCTGATCATGCTGAGGTTGCTGCGTAGACCGGACAGGTAGACCTTCCCATCTGTAGAAATCAGAATGTGGCTGGCCTTGACACTCCTGCAGGGAGGTGGAGAGAGTGTCACACACGGTCCTGATGCTACAAATCTGCAGTCTCCAAATATTAGACCTGGTCAGCTCTCACCCATATCGCATGCATATAAGTGCATCTCATACATACATAAAGGTATTTATGAATATTTTCAAACATACCTGAAAACAAGAAAGTAACATGCCCCATTCATGCACCATTAGGTTTTCTGTTTTAAGATTTATTTATTATGTACACAGTATGTACATGTATGTCTCCATGCCAGAAGAGGGCACCAGATCTCATTACGGATGGTTGTGAGCCACGATGTGGTTGCTGGAAATTGAACTCAGGACTTCTGGAAGAGCAGCCAGTGCTCTTAACCTCTGAGCCATCTCTCCAGCCCAACATTAGATTTGTTTGTTCTGGGTTTTCAGACAGGGTTCTCTCTGTAATCCTGACTGTCCTGAAACCCACTCTGTAGACCAGGCTGGCCTTGAATTCACCTGCTTCTGCCTCCCGAGTGCTGAGTGCTGGGATTAAAGGAGTGCGCCATGCGCCACCATACCCAGCCATTTGATTTAAACAAACAAACAAACAAAAAAGGTTTTTTTCTTTTTTCTTTTTCGAGACAGGGTTTCTCTGTGGTTTTAGAGCCGGTCCTGGAACTAGTTCTTGTAGACCAGGCTGGTCTCGAACTCACGGAGATCCGCCTGCCTCTGCCTCCCAAGTGCTGGGATTAAAGGTGTGCGCCACCACCGTCCGGCGTTCTTTTTATGTTTAATCATGAGCACATGTGTCTGTCTGTGGGTGTGTATGTGCATAAGGAGGCTAGAAGACAGTATCAGATCCCTGGAGCTGGAGTTGTAGGCAGTAGTGAGATACCAATGTAGAGCTGGGACCCAAACTCAAGTCTTCTGCAGAATTATTAGACTCTCATAACCACTGAGCTGTCTCTCCAGCTTAAAGACTTATTTATGTTAGTTGTATGTGTGGGAGTGGATTTATGCATATATGCCTGCAGGGGCCCGAGTTGTCAGAGCTCTTGGAGCTGGAATTACAGATATTTGTGAACCACCCAATGTGGGTGCTGAGTCCTCTGCAAGAGCGGTATGTACTCTTAACTGCTAAGCCATCTCTCTAGCCCCTATGTTATTATATTTAAAACTTACTATGTGCCTAGAACCAAAGTGCCCTCTAAATTTGTATCTTTATATCCGCAGATTAGTGCAGCTCTCAAGCCTCATCAGAGAGGTTTCTTTGTGTCATGGATGATGACTAATGGCAAAACTGACAGCTGGTCAAAGTGCAGTTAGTGAGTGTCTAGGGACATCTGTGTCACTCTCCTCCCACCAGGGCTCCAGGACCATTGCAAAGAGAGGGATGGAAAGATGGTAAGAGCCAGAGGTGGATGGGGCTGGAGAGATGGCTCAGTGGTTAAGAGCATTGTCTGCTCTTACAAAGATCCTGAGTTCAATTCCCAGCAACCACATGGTGGCTCACAACCATCTGTAATGAGGTCTGGTGCCGTCTTCTGGCCTGCAGACATACACACAGAATATTGTATCCATAATGAATAAATAAATATTTTTTAAAAAAAAGAGCCAGAGGTGGAGCCAGGCAGTGGTGGCGCACGCCTTTAATCTCAGCACTCGGGAGGCAGAGGCAGGTAGATCTTTGTGAGTTCGAGACCAACCTGGTCTATAAGAGCTAGTTCCAGGACAGGGTCCAAAGTTACAGTGAAACAAAAAAAAGAGCCAGAGGTAGGGAACACCTGACCAAAACTGTTCTCTCGACACAACCTGACCACTGCACTCATGACCCCTCACAGAAGGTGTGGCTGCCTGCATAGGACCCAAGAAGACAGAGCCAGTCAGCATTCTAGCATTTCGAGAGAAAGGGGCTCAAGAACCTCCACCCTTAACTGAGAGGTTGATGGCTTCTGGGGGAGGAAGAGTCAGTTTTATTTAACAGTGTGGCCCCTAGATGTTGACCATGTTATGGTGGATGGGCCCAGCCAGCCTGGAACTCATTATGTAATCTAGGCTGGCCCCAAAGACTGAATGCTCTGATGTCTGCCTCTTACAGGCATATAAGATAGACCAATGATTTTTATCTGTTTGCTTTTGAGACAGGGCTTCTCTGTGTAGCTCTGGCTGGCCTTGAACTCAGATATGCTCCTAATACTTTTACTTTCTGTTCTTGAGAAGTACATGGGCGTGCTTTAAATTTATCTAATCCTCTCTTGTTAAGCAATTCACTCCTTTCTCACTCAGTGCTTACTTCAAGGGACCTACCATTTCCATTCTCCAGGGAGAGACACTCAAGATACTTCTACTCAGTACAAATCTAACAGCAGTCAGCACGCGGCAGATGTCAGCATGCAGCAGATGTCTGCATGCGGGTCCACTGATGGCATATAGCCAGAGCTGATACGAGCCCGCATCCATGCCCCTGACTGGCTGCACTAGGTACCATCCAGCCTCCTAACCACCACCAGTTACTCATACAATGTGACATCATATCTTCATCTGCAGTTCTGATAGCTAGGGCTCGACCGTAACCTCCCATCCTGCCACCCTGCTCTTGATGTGGGAGTGATTTCTTTCTAATCTGTTGCTTTCATTGGTTAATTAATAAAGAAACTGCCTAGGCCCATTTGATAGGCCAACCCTTAGGTGGGTGGAGTAAACAGAACAGAATGCTGGGAGAAAGAAGCTGAGTTAGGGAGTCGCCATGATTCTCCCACCCAACACAGACACAGGTTAAAATCATCCCTAGTAAGCCACCTCGTGGGCTACACAGATTATTAGAAATGGGTTAGATCAATATATAAGAGCTAGCCAATAAGAGGCTAGAGCTAATGGGCCAAGCAGTGTTTAAAAGAATACAGTTTCCCTGTAATTATTTCGGGGCATAAGCTAGCCATGCCGGCAGCCGGGTGCCAGGGACGCAGCCCCGCCGCTCATATTACAACATGCTCTTCTACCCTTGTTCTGTCCAATCTCCTTGTTGCTCATGTATGTCACTCTGGCACATATTACTTTGTCATCGTGTCATTTATGAGACAGAAGTCTTTAAAGCCGATCTAAGCATACTTATCATTTTCTTGTTTTATGCTTTTAAACGTCTAGTTCTTGTGTATCTAGGTCCCAAAACTCTCCCTCACACTGCCTTCTACATAAGTCTGCAGTGTGGGGCTGGTGACATGGCTCAGTGGGTAAAGGCACTTGCTGCCAAGCCTTACCACCTCAGTTTGATCCCTGGAACCAATGAAGTGGAAGGAGGGCTCCAGTTCTGTTGTCTTCCCCACTATGAGCTGGTTTTCCTGACAAAACCACTTAGCAATCTGTCTTTGAGTTGGCCATGAGCCTGCTCTGAGGCACATAGGAGTAAGGCAGGGATCAGGGATCCGCAGTAGATATATCTGTCACACAATAAAGATCAAGTGACTTCAGCACTCACAGACTAATGACTGTCCCCCAAGTGGCAAGCTCAGAATCCAGATCCTTGATTCTGAACTCCACCTTTACTAGGAAAGGGTGAAGTGGCTGGGAACACACCTGTGCACATAGCCCATGTGGTGGATGTAGTCCAAGGCCTTCAGCACCCCCTGCAGGATGTATGCAATCGCCAGCTCATTCATGCCATCCATGAAGTGTGTGCCAATGAGATCCTTCGCAGAACCTGAAAAGGATGCCAAGGGTAACAGGAGAAAGAAAATGGCACAGAAGGAAGTGCCAGGTGTCCTAGAACCCTTCCCACTCACCATAAGCCATGAATGATGTGACGACCCACAGCTCATTGTCTGAGATGAAGGTGGCTCGATATGGCACTATATTGGGATGGCTGAAGAGTTTAGAGACATGAAGCTCCCCCTGAAAGCAACGGCAAAGCTGAGTCAGGGTCACGAATGGCATTCAACATGAAGATGGCGGAGGGACAGTGTGGAGACCTAGTGTCTTCTGGATGCTCTCCTCAGAGTCCTTCCAGTGTAGGAAGGCCCACCGTGCCTGGGGAAAGTCACCTGATTTGTCCACTTGGGCTTTTGGGTGGCCCTGCCAGCCACCAACACTCACGAGGCTCAAAAGTAACCCTTCACCACGCAGGGTCACTGCTGTCAACACAGTGAGAGCCAGCGCCTCAGAGATGACCAAAACAAAGCAGTGGCTGAAGACTTGGGAAATGATTCACCTAATCCCAGGTCAAGGCTTACACTTCTTTCTAAGACAAGAGTACAATTCCAGCCTGGTGCTGAGGCAGGAGGACTGTAAGTTTGAGGGCAGGCTGGGTAATAGTGAGATGGTATCTAAAAACAAATACTATATACATCAAAGTATAAGAGTTGACTGAACTAATGGACAAATGAAACTATGGAATACAAGGAGACATTTCCGAGCACCTTGACTGGGGTCCCCTTCCCCAGAAATAGGTGTATGAAACATTTTTTAAAAAAAAGTTCAAAGGAAGTTCAGAAGAGCCAGGACCAGTACTCTGAGCAGTGGTTCTCAACCTTCCTGATGCTGAGACCTTTAACACAGCTCCTCATATCATGGCAACCCCAACCAAAAAAATTATTTCATTGCTACTTCATAATTGTAATTCTGCTACTGTTATGAACTATAATGTAAACATCTGATGTGACCCCCTAAGGGGTCATGACCCACAGGTTGAGAACCACTGGCTTAGAAAGTTGGGTAGGAGGACTGATGAGTTTGAGGCTAGCCTGTACAATGTGAGTTCTAGAGCAGCTGGAATGGGAGACCCTATCTACAAAGAAATTAAAAACAAAACAAAAAATGCAGAAATTTCAGGTTCCTGGCCTTTATGACCTAAATTGAGACCATGTGGGCAGTTCCTTTTGCCTGTTTATTGTTTCAGAGAATAAAATCAAAAAAAAAAAAAAAATCACATGGGCAAACATGTTCTGGAATAAATTTATTAAGTTTTCCCCTACAAATAACTGAGCTAGACTGGCCCTGTCTAGCAGTTATGAACAGAGGAACTTGAACAACATGGTCAGGTAAGCATCCTTAAGGAGCACACTACATATGAGGTGCAGGAGCTGCACACAGCCCTGAGTCCACACTGCGCTGGGCACTGGTATCATAGGACCACGAGGAGTCTCACCCCACTTGGTTCCTACGCCAGTTTAGCAAGAGGGAGACTCTGTGCTTATCAAATCGAAAAGCATCTGCAGCAAACATGATGCACTGATGGTCACTGATGGCAGAGCAGGTGGCCCTGCTTGTGAACAAGACGTCCTGGGGCTGAGTGCCTCTGCTGCCTACACTGCTGTGCTTGCCTGTCTCTCTGAATAATGCAGAACAAGGCAAAGAGACATGTTTAAAGAAGAGGGGACATCTGGGCTGAGCACCATCACAGCCTGACGGACAGTGTCAAACACGAAAGACCCTTCGCTGCTGCCTCCTGACTTCTCAACACATGGCCTGCCTACAGCAACTTCTAGAGGAACGAAATGAGATTACTATCTAACTGGGAGCCCACAGTTAGATAGTGTAGGTGTAACAGGGGTCACACCTACACTTTGTTACCTGCAAGAATGTCACCATCTCATTGGAACAAGCTTCTAGGTTGATCCTCCGTACCGTCACATATTCTCCTGTTGGCTTGTACCTGGCTAAATTCACTGTCATTAAGTCCTCAAATCCTTTACCTAAAAGAAAAGACAAATGAGTTAAACAAAGACAGCCAAAAAGATTTATCTACTCTAAAGAAAGGAGACTCGATTTCAGCAGAAGATTCTAGTTAGAATAGAGCTGGCATTTCTTGGTTTTCCCATCAGTTCTTTTCAGCCCATCACTGTAGTGGTCCATGGCCTCCTAGAAAAGATGTCTTCCCATCCTTGGCACAGGAAACCCATAAAGCCCACTGTCGCCACAAATCCATGCAGCTAGCTGAGGCGCTGTGGCGGGAAAGTGGGCATGTCCCTGGGAATTACCTATGATGGTGAGCAGCTCATAACACCCGCCCTCTGGCAGAAAGCTGCCCATGTTCTCCGGTTTAGAGAAGGATGCTATGGACTCCGAGCTCGCCTCATTGGCCTAAGGAAAAAGAAGAGGTTAACTGAGAAAATGGGGGTGGGCAGAGGTGGTAACAAATCCACGGGGAGAATCACTTCTACAGCACACACAGCAACCCTGGCTGTGGCACAGAGAAGTGCGAGGAGCACAACACAGTGAACATTCCTCGCAGACCGAGTGTGCAAGCTACAAACGAGGACAACCGTCCCGGTCACCTGCCACTCTGCCTGACCTCTCCAGTGACCAACTGCTAAAGTCTACCCAGATCTTTGTGGAGAAAAGCATGAAAAAAAGCCAGGGTTAGAGAAATACAGTTTCCAGTTTTCTGCTGCATTGGGGTCCAATTTTTAAGGTGCCAGACTGCAAGGTTCTAAATGGTCAGAACAATAATCTTGTTCTAGAGCAGCGGTTCTCAACCAGTGTGTGTGTGTGTGGGGGGGTTGTCATCTATCAGACATCCTGCATATCGGATATTTACATTGCAATTCAGAACAGTAGCAAGATTACAGTTATGAAGTAGCAACGAAAATAATTTTACGTTTGGGGCTCATGAGGAGCTGTATTAAAGGGAACAAACACTGTACTAGAGGAACACTGCTAGAGGAGCCCCATTCCTTTAGCAAACCGAGAGTCCAGGCTAGTCATTCTTCATGTCCCCACGAGATGGGAGAGTAACTGACTCCCTCAGCTACAGGCCCAGAGTCTGCACGGTCAGCTCCTGGGTCCCTGTCCCCTCAGGCAAAGGATGAAGCTGGGTACCAGCCATTGGGGATGTGGACACCTCTAGCCTTTGAGGTCCTGAAGAGAGGTGGCCAGCACTGCTGAATGTGGGAAGCGAAACAGCACACAGCAGTACAGCTTTCACAGCCTCCTTTCCTTCTGGGCCCAAAGGCCTTCAAATGACGTGGGGAGCGGATTCTTCTCTCCTTAATCCTCCCTGCAGGTGTGTCTAGCTGGAATGCAGACTCTGAGGTCTAAGCTGTATACCAGTCATAAGCCTGGCCTCAAGTCAAGTGTGATGGTGCATGCCTGTAATCCTAGCATTCAGGAGGTGGAGGCGGGAGGATCAGGAGCTTCAGGCCAGTTTTGGCTACAGGAGACCCTGCCTCAAGCCAAACAAATAAAACAAACTTGGCCTTGAATCGGAAGAAACTGTTGTCAACGCACAAATGGCTCTTGACTCAGCATTAACGGTAAAAGCTGAAAATGTTCAGGCAAGGTGGAGAGTCAAGAATGACTGCAGAGACGCCACAAAAACATTGTGCTTGGCATCCTATTTAAATATGCTCTTCAAAGCCCATTTACACTGTCTGATCTTCCTTCCTCCTTCCCCACACTAGTTGAAGAGGTGGAACAGATACTTTTTTTTTTTTTTTAAAGACAAGGTCTTTATAAACCAGCTGGCCTTGAATTTAGAATCTGCCTGCCTTTGAACTCCTGAGTGCTAGGGCCTGGCCTGGAATATATGGCAATCTCCCTGCCTCTGCCTTCCAAGTGCTGAGATTAAGAAGTACACCACCATGCTAATGCTCCTTCAATAACAGAACTGCGGGCCAAGGAGGTAAACAATTTGCTAAGTAACGAGAATGTGCTTCTGTAACGCAGAAAGATGCAGGCCTCTGCCAGGAAGGGTTTTGCTGCTGATGGGGTGCATCTGGTCTACAACTACTAATAATGCCTAGCTCCAGAAAAAGGCCAAGTGGCTCTGCCTCATACTTAAGAGTGATACTAAAAGCTGGGTGTAGTGGCGCACACCTCTGATCCCAGCACTGGGGAGGCTGAAGATCTCTGTGAGCTTGAGGCCAGCCTGATCTACATAATGAGTTCCAGGACAGCCAAGGTACACAGTGTGACCCTGTCTCAAAACACAAACAAAATGAGAAGGAGGGAAAGAGGGAGGAAGGAAGGGAGGGAGGGAAGGAGGAGGAAAGAGGGAGGGAGAAAGACTAGGAGGGCTCTAGTTGAGCAAAATGGATCCCTTTTAATAAAGTCTATTTTCAATTTAATCCCTTTTTTTGTTTTTGTTTTTTGTTTGTTTGTTTTCCTTTGAGACAGGATCTCTCTGTGTAACAGCTCTGGCTGTCTTAGAAACTCATTTTTTTTTAGATCAGGCTGGTCTCGAACTCACAGAGATCTGCCTGCCTCTGCCTCCCGAGTGCTGGGATTAAAGGCATGTGCCACCACCGCCCGACTCGACCATAATATTCTATTCAGTTATAGTTCACTGACTTTCACTGTTGTATAATATTCTTCCCAGGAATATATCTCAAGTCATCCATGCCAACACTGATGAGACCAGGCTCTTTTTCCAGCTCCGCTACGATGAACGGCACTACTACAAACATGTCTATGTCTCCTGACCAGAAAGGATTACCAGGTTACAGACCACATCCAGCCAACTTTATGAGACAATGACATATTGCTTCCCAGACAACTGCACTATTCACACCACACTCAGTCCTGCATGGTTTTTAATTGTGTTCATGTCATTGTTATTATTGTGTGTGTATAATACACTCGTGTAGGTGTGCACACGTACTGCTTTGGAGGTTAGAGAGCATCTCTGTGCAGGCAGTTCTCTCCCTCCACCTTTAACTGGAAGAACTGGGGACTGGAGTCAGGTCACTGGGTCTGCATAGCAAGGGCCTCTCCCTACTGAGCCACACTGCCAGTCCTCTTGCAGTGTGGCCTGCTCTCAATAAAACCAGTGTTTGGTTCACAGGAAGCCCGGTGGGTTGCTGTTAGATCTAGCTCCCTGCTCTGGACTGCGAGTGCCCACAAGGCTGGGTTCTTGCCCACCTCACTTTCCTCATCTCCCCAGTCACTTTCCCCATGCAACAAGCATGTCTCTGCTCTTAGTGAACCTGTACCAATCATCTCACCTGCAAAAAGTTTTTTTTTTTTAAATTTATCTTTATTTTGTGTCCTGGTTTGTTTTTCTGTCCAGCTTGATGCAAGCTGGAGTCATCTGGCAAAAGCAAATCTCAGTTGAGAAAACTGGCTGAGTTGAGAAAATGGCTCCATCAGATTGACTACAGGCAAGTCCAAGGCATTTTCTTGGTTAATGGTTGTTGTGGATGGTGCCACCCCTGGGCAGTAGCCCTAAAGAAAGCAGGCTGAGCAAGCCATGGAGAGCAAGCCAGTCAGCAGAGCTCTTCAGTTCCTGCCTCCAGGGTCCTGCCCTGACTTCCCTCAGGGAGACAATAAAGCTGTGAATTGAAATAAATCCCAAGTTTCTTCCTTACATGGCTTTTGGGCATGGATTTACTACAGCAATAGAAAAGAAACTAAGACAGAAACCGGTACCGGGTTCACAGGATACTGCTGGAGAGACCTGGCCGTGTTGTTTAGGAAGGGCTATGGATGGAGTTTAGAACTTAGCCCTTAATGGGTTGTCCTATGGGAGCTTAAGAAAAAGTATTGTTGGGAGCAATGTCTGCCTCTGGGTTCCTGCCTTCCTGCCTTAGTTTCCCTCAGTGATGAGCTACAAGCTGCAGGATGAAATAAGCTCTCTCCTCCCCAGGCTGCTTTTGGTTGTGGTGTTTATCATAGCGACAGAAAACAAACTAAGACAATGTGTGTGTTTTGTCTACACATATGCAAGTGCACGTGATGCAATACCTGTAGTGGCCAGAAGAGGGAGTCAGATCACCCGGAACGAAAGTTACAAATGGTTTTGGAGTCATGGGTGCTGAGAACTGAACCTAGGTCTCTACAAAAACAGCAAGTGTTCTTTAACCTTTGAACCATCTCTCCAGTCCCTTTAACTGGAACACTCCTACTTGGCTACAACTTCCATCCCCATTTTTTTTGTTATTTTGGTTTTCAGATAGTGTTATACAGCTCAGGCTAGCCTCAAACTCTATGAGGCCGAGGCTCCCCCACCACACCCATTTTACACCAAGTACACACATGCCCATCTTTTTTCTCATCACTGTCTTCTTATCATTTAGGTCTCAAATACTTCAGAGATGACCCTGCCAGCAGAACAGAGTAGGCTTCTATCACTTGACTTCGCTACTTGCTTTACATTCCTCACAGAAGTCACTGCTAAAGCTGAGTCAGCTATTTCCTGACAGCTCCACTAGGAATGCGCTAGAGGGGGTCCTTGACTGTCATGCTCACTGCTGTAGTAGCAGCAGTAATAACCAGGAATGACTTGACAACCATAAAAGCAAAGCAGGAACTCAGGAAGCTTTCTGCAACCTTCCAATGAGAACGAGTAGGTGATTGGCGATCCCTCTGGAAACAGGGCTCAGAGACACACTGGTCCTGCAGCACCTTTACCAGGGCCTGACACCTGCGGGCAATCAAGCATTACTTCTTTGTTGTTGTTTCTGAGACAGGGTTTCTCTGTAGCTTTGGAGCCTGTCCTGGAACTCGCTCCATAGACCAGGCTGGCCTTGAATTTACAGATCTGCCCGTCTCTGCCTCCTGAGTGCTGGATAAAAAGCGTGTGCCACCACCGCCCAGCATGTTACTTTTTTTTTTAGCAAGCAACACTATGGCTCTGATGAGAAGTAACTGTTTAAAGCTGTCTCTCATTTCCAAACTTCTTAAACTTTCTCCAGTTTGAAAAAGAGATGAAGAAGAATTGAGTCCTCAGAGTAAAGTATTTGTTATATGTACTTTTTTATTATATGTATTTTAAACAACTCTGTGGAAATCTACAAATGGAAATTTCTTTAATACCTGTGTCCTACTTCCCAGCAGGGAGGCATATAAGACACACTACCTAATGAGCTCCCTATGGCATTTCTTGTTGCGCACACGCAGGGAAAGCCTCAATGAACTGCTTACGTAGGAACCTGACAAATACTTCCATGATCTAGCTGTACAGAAAATGACCACAAAGTGCGACCTTTAGCAATCAGTTTTTTAGGTGCTGGGAAACGTGGCGCTTCAGGGGATGAACTAGTCTAGAGGCTGCTGCAGCTTCTACATGGTTCTGCCCGACTCACCACAAACCACTGTGAAACAAGGCTATGCCAGAGTCAGCGGCCAGTTTTCACAGGAAGCAAACAAAGCAGGAAAGAGAGGGAAGAGTTTTGTAAATAGGACAGAAGTATTTTCATGTTCCTGGGGAACAGGATTAGTCACACTGTATCATCTATCCCCTCTAGGTCACCTGTGTGGCTACACATCTACACTCCTCTAACAGACCTGAAGTGAATTACACATCTCAACTGGCTTCCATAGACAGATTAAAATGCAGAAGGATTCGTGAGAGGTCTGGTCTGCTGCTGACACAAGAAAGGGGGTGTCCTGGCTAGTTTTCTGTTAACTTGACCCAGCTAGATTTCTCTGGGAATTGTGAAGATGCCTCCACTAGATTGCCTGTAGGCACGTCTGTAGAGTATCTTCTTGATTAATGACTGATGTGGGAGGTCCCAGCCCACTGTGGGTGGCTCCACCCATGGGCAGGTGGTCATCAGTGGTATAAGAAGGCAGTCTGAGCAAGCCAGAGAGAGAAAGCCAAGAAGCAGCATCAGCTTCAGTTCTTCTTTCCAGACTCCTAAAGTTCAAGTTCCTGCCTTGACTTCCCTCAATGGGCTGTGACTCCGAATACGTAAGCTAAATGAGTTTCTTTCGGTCATGGTGTTACCACAGCAACAGAGAACACACTAAGACAGCGGTGCATGTGTCTGCACATGGGTACTGCTGTGTCAGAACGGCCAGGTCTGCTGGGAAGGCTGTAAAGGATGGGGGGAATTTGGGGCTGGAAAAGCTGCTGAGTTCACTGAGCTGTTGCGGGAACCTGGAAGCCAACGCTGAGAGTGGGGCGGATGATGGAGGGCTGGCTTGTGAAGTTTCAGGAGTAAGCAAAGACTATGGGGCTGTTCATGTGCTTTTGGAATTAAGATTTGAGGTTCTGTCAGCTAGGGTTGAAGAATCAGCTGTGACTCACAGAAGACCAGAGCTCATTAAAGTCTTCCAGATTTTAAAAGTCTGTTTAGAGCAAAGGGATGGAATTTTAGCTCACTAAACACAGCCTAGCATAGTTACAGCACTGGAATCGCAAATTACTCAAGGAAATTCTGTTCTTTTTTTTTTTTTTTTTGTTTAGGTCCCCACAACATTAAAAAAAACATTTTATTTATTTTGAAGCATTTTAAAAACACATAAGCCATTGACAACTAAAAATAACCAAATAACCATAAACCAGTAGCATTATTTAAAACAAAATCCAATAAAGCATAAGACAGTATGATACACTACCAAATGAACACATTCAACTTACTACAGGTTTCACCCAGGATAGTTTTTGCTAGAACACCAGCAGCTATGAGCATATGAAAAACATGTCATTAGTATTTTTTTATGAAAAAAAATCCAATCTTAAAAATTTTTTTAAATTTTTAATTTTTTAAATTTTGTCTTCTGAATGAAAACACATGGGTCTGACGAACAGGCACTCGTGGGAGACTGTGTAAATGCAGTCAGAACTAATCTAAGCATCACCACCTTCACTCAGCCTTGGGCTTGCCCACAGGAAGAGGGGTCTGCCCCGGGAAAGTTCTGTTCTTATCTCTCCCTGTTCTCAAGGTCTCACTCTTGAACAAACCCTGGTTGGCCTCAAACTTATGGTAATCTTCCCGCCTCAGCCTCCGAGTGCTGGGCCCACAGGCGAGTGCCAGTCTGCCCAGCCGCTGTGCTCTTTTTATAAGACCATGATTCACATTTTCCCAACAGCGTGGCGCACTGTGCACATCTGGTGCTAGTTACTCAGGGAAAGTAAAGCACAAGCGGAGGGGGAAGACATCAAGAATCTTGCAGCTTTTGCCAGTTTTTGTCTTTTTTGTCTTGTGTAAATTTTTTTTGCGGGGGGGGGGTTGAGTTTTAAATATTTTTTCCCCGATTGCATGTGCACATGAGCAGGTATGCGTACATGTGTGCTCAGTTTTTTTCTACCACCTTTATACAGGTTCAGGCTGGTTTCTCATTCTGGTGCCAGGCTTGCACAACATACGCCTTTACCAGCTGAGCCATCTCTGGTTTTAAACTTGCTATCCTCTTGCCTCAACCTCCAAGTGGTAGGACTACGGGTATGTGCCACCACACCTGACTCTGGTTGTTTGCTCCCTTCTGTTTGCAGTTGGTACTGAGGGTGGCACTCAGGGCTTTATGCATGTTTGACATAACAGAGCTACGCCCTACCCTTGGTTCTGGGAGCCAGGATGACAGGTGTGGTCATCCAGCCTGTTTTGTACTTTTTAATTTTGGTTTTATTTTTACAGTAAGAGACATAGGTCTTGACTTATGAGCCAGAGAGAGATCTGCATTTTCTCAGTAGAGTGAAATTTACTGGTAACAGTCTACAGATGAGGAAGTGAGAAGCACCAGTTGCTAAAACTGAAATTTCAAGCTAATGAACTCATTTTAGAGGGCTAGGGAGGGGTGGGTAAGGCGGAGGCCTGGGAGGGGAGGAGGCTGGAATCCCCAGCTGGGACTTCTCTGCTCTTTACAGCACACACTAAAGTCTTTCTAGGGTGAAACCTGAAGCATCATCACAAGCAAAAAAAGAAAAATAATTGTACTACAAATCAAGCTGAGAAGACAGAACAGCAGAAGCATAACACGAGTGCCAGCAAAACACGCATCTACAAGACGTCAACTCCATGCAGCAGCCACAGAGCCAGGCCAGAAAGCCACTTACTTTTCTCCGAGTGTCACCCGGAGGCTGCTCTGGGGTAGAGAAATTGGTTGTTGGCATTTTGTTAGCAGAAGACACGCCCACATTCAGACCAGCAATTATCACACTTAGGACTACAGTTAATAACAGAATCCACTTAGGTCATACAGCACTGTACACTACACAGAGCCGCAGCGAGACCAATGCATCCTCAAGGGACTTGCACATGAATGTGAGCCTCGTCCACAGCTACCACCCTGGGCACACATTACTTACCATCAGCATACTGTGTTACTGTGCACAGGCCTGTTTCTGAGCACTGTACTTGATGAACAAAATCCCACTTTCCCCTCCCTTGGTTCTTTAACTCCACTCAGGTCAGTCAACTAACTACCACTGAACTACACGCCCATGCCCCAAACTCATGGATTTTTAAAATTTCTTTAAAAACTTTAAAAATTTTTAAATGATTTATTTACTTTTATATACATTGGTGTTCTGCCTATATGTATATTTATGTGAAGGTGTCAGAGCTCCTGGAACTGAAGTTACAGACAAGTGTGAGCTGCCATACGGGTGCTGGGAATTGAACCTGGGTCCTTTGGAAGAGCAGCCAGTGCTTTTAACTGCTGAGCCATCTCTCCATCCCTTTTAAAGAATTTTAGCACTTATTATTGTAATAAGGCTGTGGAAGCTGGTCCTCCTCCATGTGGGCTCTAGGACTGATCTTAGCTCTTTAGGCTTTTTTGTTTGTTTGTTTGGTTGGTTGGTTTTTCGAGACAGGGTTTCTCTGTAGCTTTGGGGCCTGTCCTGGAACTAGCTCTTGTAGACTAGGCTGGCCTCGAACTCACAGAGATCCGCCTGCCTCTGCCTCCCGAGGTGCGCCACCACCGTCCAGCTCGTTAGGCCTTTTTTCAGACAATATCTTGATATATCTCAAGCTGGCCTGGAATTTGTGGCAATCCTCCTGCTGCAGCCTCTCAGAGTACTGAGATTACAGTCATGGGCCATTGTGTCAAGCCCCAAAATTCACTTTAAAGTCACAGGGCTAGTCGGCCACTTCGGAAGAGTATAGAGACTAGACTGCCTTTTGCGGGCGTGGGGAGGCTTGTCTGTTTTAGGGCAAACGGTGTTTTCAGCCCAGTAGCACACATCTAAGAGATCCAACGGCTGCCCAGCTCAATTCTCAAAGTTAGAGGTGTTTGACTCTGAACTGAGTACAGAGGTGGCTGCTGGGAATGAAACAGAAGAGTCACAGAACAACCAAGTGACCTCCTCCTGCTCACAAATCCTCTGTGTGCCCTCGAGTCTTTCCATCTGCAAAAGTAATACAAATCAGTAGCATGGGGGCTGGCGGTGTAGGGCAGTGAGAGTGGACCTGCCTGGCAAACCACAGGCCCTGGGGCTCATCTGCTCAGCACGCAAGAAAAAGTAAAGGGCTTCCACTGTAAAGTACAGGGCTGGTTATACATTTTCAAACATCTTAAACCACACAATTTAAGGACCTTAAACTTGAGCAAATCAGAGGAGGCAAGTTTAATCACCAAGGAAAACTCCTTTCATTGGGTACACTGAGTAAGTATCCCATTACTTGCCACAGAAAATTAGAGGAAGAATAATGTGGCCTTGGTTTCTCAAAGCAGTAATGGTTCCCCCTCAGACGGCAGTTTTCTGGTATACAAGTAACAGAAGCGATTGCTTCCAGTAGTTAGTTAAAAGTGAGAAGCCAAATGGGGGAGGGCAGGGAAGGTTACATGAACTCCAGTTGACAGAGGGCAAATTCCAAGTTGTGTAAGACTGGGAGATACTGTCTACACTGAGCTGTGAACATGCAGAGAACAACTCTTTACCAACCTCAGATCGCAGGCTAGATGCTGTCAAGACAGCCAGAGGCTAGGTATGGTGGCCCATCCCTTTAATGCTGGCCCCTGGGAGGTGGAGACAGAGGGATCTCCGTGAGTTTGAGGCCAGTCAAGGCTACATAGTGGGACCCTATCTCAAAACAAAGAAGAAAAAAACCCATCAAAGACCAGACATCCAAAGACCACCCCCTCAGCCAGAAACTGAGAATCCATTCATTCCAGTCACATAGTCTGCACTATTTGTGACTGACTCATTATTAACTGAACTTGCAAATCAATTTCTATAAAAAATTATTAGTGTGTGTGCGAGCACATGTGTCATGGCAAATGTGGAGGTCAGAGGACAACCCTGGGATTCCAGACAAAACAAACATCTCATCAGCCACAGGGCTTAGAGCATTTTATTCCCACTAATGATGAGAGGGAGGATGAGACTAGTAACAAAACTTATTCTTGGTTCTATTAGTTTACACTGTAATAATTTTTTAAAGATTTATTTTATGTATGAGTGCTCTATCCGCATGTACGACTTTATGCCAGAAGAGGGCATCAGATCACACTAGAGATGGCTGTGAGTCACTATGTGGGTGCTGCGAGCTGAACTCAGGCCCTATGGAAGAGCAGCCAGTGCTCTTAACCACTGGGCCATCTCTCCAGCTCCTACTGTAATTTTTTATTGGTTCTAATTAAAACAAAAAGAGCCTATCATTTTTTTGTGATTTTTTTTAACCTAAAATGTAACACTTTGACCAAGTCTCTAAACACCACTACTCCAGAATTTCTGTGAGATTCTTTAAGGAGAAAATAGGTTAAAAGTACCATCTAGAAATGAATACATTTGAGTTTTCAGTTCATTTGTAGATGCTGTGGACTGCTGTTTCTTCACCTAGACTATCATGACAGTTGGAAACAATGAATGGGGCTTCACTGATTTGTTAGAATTACTTTTTGGTTTTTAGAGACAGGATCTTGTTATACATCTGCCATCTGCCTTTGAATTCCCTTATGTAGTGCAAGATGGCCTCAAACTCATGATTCTGCCTTGGTTCTCCAAGTGGAGGGACAGCAAACAGGTGTGTGCCAACATGCCCAGCCACCACTACTATTTTTACAGAGAAATTTTTTTCCACCTGAAGTAAGATCATCAATTCCAAAAGGACTGACTTTGGAAAGAACCAAACAGGAATGTCTGCGCTTGTTAAATCTCAAAGGGCAAACCTACTGGCCAAGGATAACTGCTTGATTCATTCACACATTTCTTGGAAAGACCAGATTAAAAAGGAAGCCAGTTGCTTTTCAAACCGCTAACTTCTACAGATTGATCTAGTCAGCAGAACAGTGATAAATTATCCTGAAATGATGGCAAAATGCCACACTGTACTTACCTCCAAATAGTTCCAAATCTCTTAAGCCCTCAACAATGAACTTTTCCGAGACCCACCGCTAAAGAGGAAAACCCCAGAGAGAATTAGTATATCTTCCAAGCCACAACACAGTAGCTATCAGCCTTTAGAGACAAAACCCCACAAAAACATAAAAACAAGCAGTACAGTCAGACCCATGTCCATGGACAGGTTGAAAACGATTTTGAAACTGGCTACAAACAGTAGATTCATTTCTTTCTCTGGTCTTCTGTATCTAACATGATTGGTTCATAAATGTGGCAGAGGGGAAAGACAGGGAACTGTCCCCAAGAATGTGTATCTTTTCCTCTCCTATATAGAAACTTGTTCCATCTTGTTTATTCCATGGATACCCTTTTTTTTTGTTTTTGTTTTTCAAGACAGGGTTTCTCTGTGTAGCCCTGGCTGACCTGGAAATTGCTCTGTAGACCAGGCTGGCCTTGAACTCACAGAGATCCGCCTTCCTCTGCATCCGGAGTGCTGGATTAAAGGTGTGTGGCACCAGGACCCAACTTTCATAGATATTCTTTACAGAAGTCCTGGATCATCATTGCCAATTTGAAAAGTATTATTGCAATTCAACACATAGAAAACAAGAATCAAAGAATTCTTCACAAGCCTCCATTAGTTTATAAAATGAGACTCAGCCATATTCCATGTTCTCTTATCTACAAGGCTTTCTTTTTCTATTTGTTTTTATCTTTTTGAAACGGGGTCTCTCTCTGTAGCCTAGCCTGACTTTAAACTCTTTAATCCTCCTTCCTCGGTTTCTCAAGTACGAGATTACACCATGCATAGGTCTTTTCTTTTTTAATAGCATCTATTCATTGTACAGGAGGACGAATTTCCTAATTCATTTTCACACATGCAGATCATCCTTGATCATACTCATAGCCCAGCACCCTCTTCTTGCCCTTTCCCCACCCAGCTTCCCCTTTCTCTAATTTCATGTCGGACTTGCATAGGGGGCACACTCATCTTCTTGGTTTCACACCCACGTACCACACATGCCCAGTATACCCAGGTACAGAGGTCATTTTTTTAAAATATTTATTTATTTAGTATACAATATATCCCTTTAGGCCAGAAGAGGGCACCCGACCTCATTACAGATGGTTGTGAGCCACCATGTGGTTGCTGGGAATTGAACTCAGGACCTTTGGAAGAGCAGACAATGCTCTTAACCCCTGAGCCATCTCTCCAGCATCCTACAGAGGTCATTTATTAGGGTTTCTCAAGAGTTACTTTCTATCAAGTTTACCAGGACTAAACTAGCACAATCAATGCACACCTCGCTCGTCCATTTCAGATGAGTGTTAGATTTCCATTATACTAATCAGGAGTCTGGTTTCACCTTAATCAGGCCAGGTTAAAATAGGAATGTGGCTCATATTTAAAAGCAACGGAATCCAGATTCTGTTTCACTTTGTGACTGGTGTTAAAGTTTGGCACAGTGGCATTCTTTCCACTGAGCAGAGTTCAGGCAGAGGAGAGGGTTACCTTTCCTCTTCATTAACGCTGAAGTTTATTTCTTACAGTGTGACTTGTTTTTACACATATAAACACAAGAAGGGAAGATTAAAGAACACCCTAAAACAAGCTCTATGATGCGCACTGAAACTATAAAATCACTTTGTCCTTTTCTGTAACATTTTTTCTGAATTAAAGAAATAAGACCTCCCCAATTTAATATAAAAACTTCTGTGCACTATACCATATAATATTTGAGAGTGATAAACCCATCTCTCATAACACTTAAAAATGACTAAAATCTTTAAATAATCATTATCACATTAAAAAATTAAGTACTTGATAAAAATCGATGAGGATATTTTAAGAATTGTTTAAGCAATATACTTTGTTGAGGAAGGTACAACATGTGGGACTCATCTCTCCTTCCACCACGTGAGTTGTCAGGGTCAGAACTCAGGCTGTCGGGCTTGAGTCAAGGTCCTGGCCCTGCTCGGCCAGCTCACTGGACCATGGGACACTTTTAGTGAGGTCACTGCAGCTTATTTATAAGACACTCAGTCTAATATTTATTCTTACGTCCAATCTGGTAAGACTTTTATTCTAAAATTTTTACAGGAATATGGGAACCAAGTCCGCACTACTACAACTACACAGCTGAGCTTCCTGCGTTTGGGGAAATCAAAGGTGTCAGCATGTCTGAGCGCAGTGATCAATCAGTCTTGGTCTGTGAAATCATTTTTATGGCCATGGTCTCTCTCCTGCCAGGTGAGGATAATAGCTTTTGTCTCACATATTTGTTTTGTGCGTGTGTGTCAAGGTGTGGGTGTGTATGTGCAGACAGAGGGCATATAGGGAGTCAGGCCTCTCCTTCCTCGATGTCGGTCCTAGGAACTGAACTCAGGCTGCCAGACTTGACAGCAAGCCCCTGCACCTGCTGGGCCAGCTTACTAGCCCCTGATAAAAAAAAATTAAAGTATAATAAATTCTTCCAGTTAATTTTAAAGACTCTTCATTATATTTAGAAATGCGTTCCAGTAACTATAATCTGACATTGACTTTAAAAAACATAAATCCATGAAAAATAGAAGCGAGATCTTTACCAGATATGTAACCACATAGAAAAAGCCCAAATTATTTAGCATGTGACTGATCAATTCATAAAACAAGCCACCTTCCTGTTTTTTCACCAGACAATTCTGAGTGTCACAGTAAAGCAGCCACCACAGTGTCCACCCACACTTTACTTTTCAGAAAAGACAAGTAGAAAGCCAGAAGAATGGAAACACTCACCCTAATCCGCTCTGGTTTACTTACAAGAAAAGACATGGGTTCCTACTATGTAGACCTACTTCAATTTCAAAAACTTACACCTAAAAGGAAAACAGAAACATGGAGTTGGTTAAATCTTTTTATACAACTATCTTTTTCTCCCCTGTAGCAAAGGCTAGCTTCCAACTCACTACATAGCAGAGAATGACCTTGTACTCCTGAAACCCCTGTCTCTACACCCTGAGTGCTGGGATCACAGGGGTGCACCACACCTGGGTTCTATGGTGATGATGGAGCCAGGTGTTTTCTTGAGGGCTAGGTAGACACTCTACTGAGCAACACGGCCAGCGTAGATAAAGCTTCTCTGTGGAACAAAATGCACTACTGGTCTAGCATCCCAAGGTGCCATACCAGAATCATAACTTGCTAACTTCTGAGTATTTGTTTAGAGTTGTGTTGAGTGACAATAAACTTGGATATACTCTGAACAAGTACACTCTGAAACTGTCATTTCTATGAGAAAAGTCTGGAGTCAGGCAGGCCAGCGCACTCCCTGTATCCCCAAGACTCAGGCAGCTAAGGCGGGAGGATGAAGAACTGCAGGCCAGCGTGGGCTTCACACACAGCACAACTGTTGAGAGGAAGGCAGGGCAAGGTGGGCCGGAGAAGTGAGACACAATGGAGGAGTGGTAGAAATTTCTTGGACTCAGAGAACGGCAAGCGCAAAAGCCACAGTTAACACAAAGTGCACAATGAGTGAGATTCCTTTAAAAACAAAGCAGAGGTATCTACCACCCCCATTTCCACACAATACTCCACGTCTGCCCCCCTTCTACACAATACTCCACATCTGACCCCTTCCACACAATACTCCACGTCTGACCCCTTCCACACAATACTCCACGTCTGACCCCCCCTTCCACACAATAGTCCACGTCTGACCCCCACTTCCGCATATCAGTCTACTTCTCCCTCCACCCCAATTCCCCCTGTCACTCCAGTACAAGACTGGCCAGCAGAAGCTTCAGGCATGCAGTGTGTAAAACATAAAACTCTGTGGCTTTCCCTCCCCTTTTTTTCTTTTTGAAACAAGGTTTCTGTGTAGCCTTGGCTCTGATGGAACATGCTCTGTGCATTGGATTGGCCCCTGCCTCAGGAGTGCTGAAATTCCACTGGGCTTTTCTTCTTTCTTTTTTGAGACTGGACCTCAAGTAACCAGGGTGGTTCTCTCACCAGAGACACAACAGAGGATGACCTTGAACTTCTGGCCCTCCAACCTCTACTTCCTGAATGCTGGAATTGACACCACACCCACCCAATAACTTTTTTGTCTGATTTAATGAAAGTTGAATATTGTTAACACAGGTGTAATTTTTGTTTGAATTAAAATGTTCAGTAAGCTGAGATGACTTTCCTTTCTTACCTGTTGGGTCTTAGCCACTGTAGGCAGGCACTCTACCTGTGACTTTGAGACAAAGACCTTTCTTTAGACAGTTTGGCTACAAACAATCCTCTTGACCTAGGTCAAGGGCTGAGGTCACAGGCAGCCAGCTGCACCTGGCTGAGAGGGTAAAACTATTTACTGGTAACAGAACTGTGTACTTAAGAGATTCTAAGCATTCTACAAAAGAAAAAACATTTTAAGAAGGGTGTGCTATAGCAGGCTGATCCCAGCACTCGGCTGGAGGCACAAGGATCAGGAATTCAAGGTCATACTTGGCTATCTGTGACTCTGAGGCTAGCCTCTGCTGAACGTTACTTAGACCTGAATGCTGCACTGCAGGCGGGGTGTCAATGGCAAAGACCTGTAATCCTAGAACTACTGAGACTGGGGTGGGAGGATCAAGATTTCAAGGCCTGGCAATCCAAGAGATCCTTGGTCAAAGAAAAAATATCTAAAAACAAATAGACATTTATCTGAATACTGAGGGACTTTTCTTTTTCTACTTTGTGTGACATTAAGACCACTATGCTGCTTTCAAATGTCCTTAAAATACACAATTACAGTGGAAGGATAAAACGTCATTCAAAGCATTTTTATCAAGAACATAAAACACCAAGCGATATTCTTAGTAGATAGACACAGAAACAGCCTTTTTATTTATTGATTTGTGGTGTAAGCTATCCCGCCAGGGCCTCAGGCACACTAGACAGGTACTCCACCACTGAGAACACCATCCTAGTCACAGCTCTGCTACTTAGAAGCAGCAGTTATTTTAAGACCTTACTACCACTTGAGATGACTGAAGTCCTCAGAATTAAGAATGAGGCCTCGGTTTTGGCTAGCATGACAAAATCCTATACACTGTCCACAGATTCAAATTCTATTTTAGGATAGCCAATATTTACATTAAAAGTATAGGTTGGAGCCAGGTGGTGATGGCACATGTCTTTAATCCCTGCACTTGGGAAGCAGAAGTAGGTGAATCTCTGAGTCCGAGGCCAGCCTGGACTACATAGTGAGTTCCAACCCTGTCTCAAAACAAAAACAAAGAAAAAAGTATAGGTCAGGAAAGCTGAGCTGAATAGAATTTGCCTAGCATGTTCAAGGCCCTAAATTTAATCCCTAGTATAAAAATAGTTTTATTTTTCTTCATCTGAAAGAGGAGTAGATGAACCTGGAATCTAGGATAGGTTGTGGCATGGCCAACGTGCCTTAAAACCCCAGAGCCTGCTGGTCAGTGGTGGTGCACGCCTTTAATCCCAGGAGGCAGAGGCAGGTGGATCTCTGTGAGTTCAAGGCCAGCCTGGTCTAGCGCTAGTTCCAGGACAAGCTCCAAAGCAACAGAGAAACCTTGTTCAAAAACAAACAAACAAACAAAAACCCAGAGCCTCTGTTGGGGTCAGGCCTCTGGAAGAAAACCAGGCAGTGTGCATCTCCTTAAAGGGGCCTAACTACAGCAATACAAAATGGCGTAAGATGCATGAAGCACTCCAGGGAGTAGGACCTTAACTGGTTGTGGAAGTGGCATGCGCACCAATAAACAGGACAGGGGATGGACGAGAAGGAAGGAACTTCTTATGGAATTGAGCAAAAACATGGCTAAGTGGCAGTGGGCCTGAAATATCAAAGCGACTTAAAGAAAATGGAGATCCCAAGCCGAGAGTGTGACTATTATCTGGTATTTGCTGTATTATGCAAATGTGTATCGCCAGCTTCGCCAACAGTGCTTGTCGCAGTCATCACTCAGTAACACTGAGTAACTGCCCGAAAGTGAGGTGTGTGAGGACCATGGACAGGCCTTTGGTGCGTGCAAATGCCAGGCTGTATTCGCAGGGGGAGGAAGCCACTGTGAGCTTTCAACAGAGATGACACACAACGGCGGTCTAAGCAGTGTGTCTTACATCTTGTTGCACCCACAAACCACTTAGAGATCTTGTTAAAATTCTGCAATTCAGGTCTGGAGTGGGCTCCAAGTTCTGACACACTCTCTGGAAATGACAACGCTGCTGGCGTGTGGACCACAGTATTAACTAAGATTTGAGAAGTCTTGTCTGGAAGAACATTCCAAGAAACGTTACTCTATAAAGGAATGAAGAAAGGGAGGGGTCAAAATGACCCAGAGGAAAGCAAGCTGGTTAGAAAACAGTGTTCCTGGAGATAAGAGCCTTAGCAGTAGAAATACCAGGAAACAGATGAGTGGCTATGAATGAAGAAATTATAAAGCTGCCACCGCTTCCCAAGCTATCGAGCTCATTCTCTGCCCTTTGAATGAGACAGGGTCTCCAACAAACAAAGCTGATCTCACGACACTGTGTAGCTGCTCGTGACCTTGAACTTCTGATTCTTCTGCCACTGTGCTCTGAGCTGCTAGGATTACAGGCCTGCATCACCGAGCAAGGCTGGAGAGTATCTTTTACAAACTCTCCTAGATCTATGGCTGTGTGGTCTGACTGAAAACTGCAAAGACTTAATACCTTATCTGGGAACTCATAATAACTATAACTGATGATTCTAATTGTGCGTTTGTGTTCTTGAGTGATCAAAGAGAAATGAAAAGCTCAGAGGTCGAGGGGGCTTTAATGGAAGGATAAGTTAAAATATTTATTTAATCAGTGTATGTGTATGAGTGTGTAGAGTATGCATATGTGCACAAGGGTGTGCACGAGGGATGTGTATACAGGGGCGAGAAGAACACCATGTGGCTTTCTCCGTCAGGTTCAAGTTTAACTAATATAGAGAGTTCAATAATGTTGAAAAGGATTATTATCTTCCAAAATGAGGGGATATCCATTTGTTAGAAAAGTAGTATTGATATTTAAGAACAAGTTAAATATGGCTATCTGGATTTAGACGTCAACAGCTAAGGCTGTAAAAGTGACCGAAATCCAAAGCTGCAAACAGTAGCTCATGCTTGTAATCTCAGTACTCAGGAGACAGAGACTGGAGGATCAGTTTAATAGCATCCTTGGCTACAAAGTGTCTAAACAAAACAACAAAAGTGGAGTCTAAAGGCCCTGCTTCCCTTCTTGTCCCCAGTCTAACTTTGATACTCACTCCCTAATCACCTCAAGTATCCTATGTTACAGAAGTTCGCACTGACCACTTGCTTTCCCCGTGTGTGTCTGTGTGTGTGAGAATCCCTGTTTGTAGGCATGGTCAGGCCAAAGGACATTGGGTATCCTACTCTACCACTCTGTTTTCTTCCCTTGAGTTAAAGTTTCTCAATGACCCTGGACATAGGCTGGCAGCCAGCGAGCTCTGGTGTTTCTCTTGGCATAGGATCTTCTTGGCCACACATGGCTGTTTACATGCGAGCCAGAGATTGGAACTCGGGTCTTTATGCTGATTCAGCAGCATGTCCTCTTATCCAGAGCCACCTCTGGGGCCACGCAACCACACTCGGAACTGTCCCGTCACCGCCCCCACTACAAGAGGTACAGTAAGAACTCGCTTGCTCTGACTGACTTTTTCTATTTTTGTCACTGATCCCCTAAATTTCCTTCATATCTGAGATCACAACACATAACCAAAATTCTAAGAAACCTAATTAAAGGGTGAAGAGAGTTACCCAGTTCAGCGCTATAATGACTAAATTATTAGGTAGCTTTTTCTTTTTCCTTTTTGGTAGTGCTGGGAATGGAATGCAAGTCCTCACTAATGACAACAAGCACTCAGGCACTGAGCCACAGCCGCACTCTCAAATTTGGTGTATCACTTCTCAGGGCCCAGAATCAGTCTCAGGCGTCGGGTATCTCTAATGTATCAACTAGTCCACATATTGGAACTTCAACAGGTATTTCAGTAAGACCGATTTCAACGGCCTGGGAGAAACGGGTCAAGTTGAAGTATCTTGGGGTCTTTAGCTGAAAGTTGAGTTGAGAAGTTAGCTCCCTAGTTCCTAAAATTAAGAACGATTTTATTTAATCACTCCCCTTCTGTCGTGCTCACTCTCGAACGCCAGACCCGGTTCCCAAAACTGCAGGGGAGCACTTAAAACAAAAAAAGACAATCAGGACCTCTTCGTTTTCACCAAAGCAGAAAATAACCCTGATCGTGCTCAACTCGATGCCCGACTAGCATTGCCTGAAATGAAGGGGTCGAGGGAGGTCAGCACTCGGGTCTGCAGCTACTTTGCGGGAGGGCAAAACGACATCTAGTCCCAGGCACCCCATCTGGAAGCCCCGGAAAAGATGGAGAGGGAAGGCAGGAGCCAGCCTCTCCCGTCGGCAACTCTGCTCAGCGTTTCCCCAGTCAGGCCCAAGCCTAGTCCGCTCTCAAGCTACAACCCCTCAACGTGGGAACCCAAAACCCGGGTTAAACGAGGCCCGAGGAAGGCGAGGGTGAGCCGGGATGACCGCTGAGGCGCGCCCCCGAGGAGATGGACTCGAGTCGGGCGAGAGGGACGGGCCCCCGAGGAGCGCACCAGGCGGCCCCGCCACCCGGTACCTGGTCTAGGAGTCAGAGCGCAGTACCGACTCGTCTCGGCTCCGCCTCCTCAGTTTGGTGGCCGCGCTGCCGCCAGGCCGGTTGCTGGGAGGGAGGTACGCAACGTGTCATGCGCAGTGGAAGGAGCCTGAGAGGCTGGCAGAGCCCCGCCCCTCCCACAGCAGAGGCTCCTCCTTTCCCCGCCCCATGGAGGAAGTCCCGCCTCTTCCCGATGAGGAAGCCCTGCTGCGCCCCACCCAAGAAGAAAGCTCCGCCCCTCCCGCGGAAGCTGCTCCCCTTGCCCGCCCCACGGAGGAAGTCCCGCCCCTCACTTCCCAGGGAGGAAGCCCCGCCGAGCTCTTCTATTGGAAGAGGCTCCGCCCCACCCTGCCCACAAAGGAAGCTCCGCCTCCTCCCTCCGGCTCCCAGCGTCTGCTCCCGCGTTACTTATGGCTTGACTAACCCTCCCTCGGTCGCTGTGGCGGGGAGAGAGCTGCTGGTTGTCTTTCCCCTTTCTTTGCTGGGGACGCCCTTACCTGGGAAGAAGCGGATTTCCTCAAACCAAAGACTTCATTGTTGGAGACTGCGGTTCACGAGGGCCCTGGTGCCTCCGTACCCCTCCTGTCTGCAGCAGGAAGAGAAGGGTCAAGGGCCACCTAACTACAGCTACGGATTTGGCTGGCAGTATTTCCGCCTCTCCCCATTCCATCACCTGGTAGGCCTTACACGGGCAAACACCTGGAAGGACTTCAGTGGGCGCGCTTGGGTCTCTCAGGCTTTAGCGAACAAACTAAAGAGGAAACTCACCCAGTGTTTGTGTCCCAAGTTCCTTCTATGTAAAGCCAGGAAAATTGCTCAACCAAATGAAAGTTATCTTTTTCGTTCTTGAACCCTTCATCCCTAAGTTTTGGTTTATTTTTTTGTTTTGTTTTGTTTTTGTACTGGGTTTGAGACAGGGTCTCGTGTAGCCTGGGCAGGCCTTGAACTCCGAGGTCAGCTTGGCTCTGCTGGGATAAAAGCTCGGTGGTGTGTCTATTTGTAGAAACTATGATGAGTTTGCCTTTATGAAGGAAGACAGAGACCAAGGCATACAGGACTGATCAAATGAAGTACTCTAGATGTGGCAAGACTTCCTCCTGTGGGAACTAGGGACTTTTAGTCACCTCAGTTGCTGTGGGTCGCTGTCAAGTAATGAATACTTGTTTTTTCCAGTTCTGTCTCCTCACAGATTTATAGCGGTCCTAATAACTTCCAAGATATGTAAGTTCTGCAACATCCAAACGGGGGCTTGATGGAAATACACCAAACTTACCAGAGGCTCTCACTGTTTTACACACTTCTGTAATCTTACCTAGTGTTTTAACATTCTAAAGCACAACCGCAGCCTCAAAATGTTTCTTTCTGCCAGGCAGTGGTGGAGCACACCTTTAATCCCAGCACTCTGGAGGCAGAGGCAGGCAGATGTCTGTGAGTTCGAGGCCAGCCTGATCTACAGAGCAAGTACCAGGACAGGCTCCAACAGAAAAACCCTGTCTCGAAATAAGTAAATAAAAAAGTTTCGCTCAGAAGTGAACCCAGTGCATTCACAAAAAGCAAAGGAGTGGAAGAAAATTCCATTTCTGCCAGGTTACATTGTCTTTGGAACTGAGAGTATTGGAGAAAGCAATGAAAAGATGCCAGCTTCATTTTGGTTTGTGTGTGTGTGCACTTCAGTGTATGTATGCACACCACATGTGTGCAGAAGCAAGCAGAGGTCAGGTGTCATATCCCCTTCAAGTGAAATGGGGAACTGTGCGGTGTGTGAATATGTAGAACAAGTTGACTAGGATCACTTATCTGTCAAGTATTTCCAGTCTTTGCATTTTACTATCGCGTGTGAACTTTCCACACAGCCGTTTTAGAAAGGGGTAGGAAGACAGAAGGAAACACACTCGTTAAAAGCACCGGGATAGGAGGGCTGGAAGGTGTAGCTCATCAGCAGAGTGTTCACCCAACACACAGGATTCAAGTAAGCAAATGCAGTTAAAAAAATATAGTGTGCACAGATCCAGAGCTTTCTTGACCTAGGAAACCGGCTTCAGTTCTAGCTCCAAGAGGTAAGCTAAGCTATAGAAAAATATACAGAAGTAAGTTATGTAAATTTAAGATATGAATGGAGGGGAGAGTGGTGTGGGAAGACAAAGTACAGTGTTCTATGTGTGAACATGTACTAATGAAACCCATTACTTTGTACGCTAACCAGAAATATCTATGAAAAGTGGAAGAAAATTTATGAAAAGCAGCAAGCAGTTCAGCAGACAGGCAGAGGCAGTATCATCTTATTCCTCAGTAACCCCCAAGGAAAGCAATGCTTTAGAAAGGCTAGGGTGAGCATCTCAAGCTGGAGGCCAGTCTGGCATACATGGGACCCTGTGTCAAGTGAGTGTGGTGGTGCACCCACCTGGGAAGCCGATGCAGGAAGACTAAGCCTGAGTTGGAAACTAGCCAATAACACTTAGCAAGCAGTCCTCACAGAAATAAGTAGATGTGGTGCTACACGCTATCACCACAGCACTCCAGGCCGAGGCAGGGCACTGCTGTGACTTTCAGCAGTCGAAGTTATAGATGAGACCTTGTCTCAGAAAGCTAGCAAGCAATGCGATCTACCATTGGGGGGGAAAAAAAATCACAGCTTTCTTTTCCTCTCAATTCAGAGGACTGGGACGGCTGTGAATTTGTACAAACATAACACCATCTTCCTTTGTTTAAAGGTTTTATTTATGGTCAAATGCTTGTATGTGAATGTAGTTGCCTGCGGAGACCAGAAGAGGGCAGCAGATCCCCCAGAGCTGGAGTTATAACAGCTGGTAGCTGAGATTTGAACGTGGGTCCTTTGCAAGAGCAGTAAGTGCTCTAAGCCATCTCTCCAGCCCTGATGTCTTCCTTTTGCAATCAAATTTTCCACTGACCACCAAACACTAGATATTTAAGAAGGTTAAAGACATGTGACACCACACCCAGCCAGGTTTCTTTTTACTTTTCAGTAGTTTGTAATACAAGTCACTATAGTGATGTTTTGTTTGTGTTTTAACAAATAAAGCTTGCCTGAAGATCAGAATGCAGAGCTAAGCCACTATAGCCAGGGAGTGGTAGCACATTCCTTTAATCCCAGGACTCAGGAGACAGAGGCAAAGGGATCTTTCTTAGTTGAAGGCCACCTTGATCCAGTCTAAAAGAGAAACAGAATTCATACAAATGTGATCCCAGCACTCAGGATCCCACACCTTCAATCCCAGCACTAAGGAGGTGGAGACAGCAGTTATATGGCTGGGCCAAGAGAGGAATATAAGGTAGGAGGAGGCAGGAGTTCATTGCAATCTGAAGCTTATAGTTGGAGATAGGTTGCGGTCTGGAGATGAAGTCTGAGGACGCAGTCTGAGGACAGGATCGCTCCTTCAGTCTGAGCATTGGTAGAGGTCTCTCTAGTGGCTGCCCTCTCTGCTTCTCTGATCGCTCAGCTTTCACCCCCAATATCTGACTCTGGATTTTTATTTCTTCTTATTATTATTTGAGACAGGGTTTTTCTGTGTATCTCTGGCTGTCCTGGGAACTCACTCTGTAGACCAACCAGGCTGGCCTTGACTCACAGAGATCCACCTCCTCTGCCTGAGTGCTGGGATTAAAGGCATGCATAAAGGCGTTCACCATCATTGCCCAGCCTGGGTTTTTACTATCAAGACAAATTAGAACCTGTGTTACAAGTCACCCCTATGGGTTTAACATCATTTAGAATAAGTGAGGCAGGAAAAGAGAACTTGGGAGGAGAAAGGGCAGACTGACTCCACCAAATCCAATAGCTCTTCTGCTTCCACTGGATGACTGGAACAAAAATGTCACCCACAATTTTCCTTGGTCCAAGTCCTATATAAAGCAGTTCTACATCTTGTGCCCAACACAGAGAGGTTTCCTTGTACTAAGGAAACAGAATTATAAACAATTCCTCTTTATCCACCACACCGCCAGCTCTAAAATAAATAAACAAAACAAACAAACAAAAACCACCTTGTCCGCTCTGACACAAAGTCAGAGAAGACTAAAAGAATCCACTTTGTACTATTGGACAGAGGAGAGCAAGAATGTAAAGTAAAATGTACCATATGATAGTAGCCTTGCCTTTGTAGAGTGTGTGAGTAAAACAGTTTTGCACACATTATCTTTTGGCTGTGAGGTGAGCTGGGAAAATAGTTCAGCAGTTAAGAGAACTGACTGTAGAGGTTCTGGGTTCAGGTCCCAGCATCCACATGGCAACTCATAACCTGTAACTCTAGTCCCAGGGGTTCCAACACTCTCTTCTGGTCTCCTTGGCACTACACATGGTAGACATGGTAGACAGACAGACATGCAGGTAAAACACACATACACATAAAGAAAATGTTAAAATAAACTGATAGGAAGGAAAAATATTTATTCCCACTTTATACAAGAATAAACACAATAAACCCAGAGGTATGACTTGCCCAAAGGAAAAAACTTAGTAATTTTCTTTAGTAAATTTTCAGTACATTTATTTTATTATCCACTTACCATGTACATGTGCATGCATGTTTGTGTGCATATGCCATGGTCCACATGCGGACCAAGTGGTCAAAGGACCACTTGTGGGAGTCGCATGCATCCTGAGGATCAAACTCAGGTCAGCAAGCCTGGTAAGCACCTTTACCCATGGAGCCACCTCACTGGTCCTGGAGACTGGTTTCATCAATGCTGAAGCCAAGCCTTTCTTTTATATTTCAGGGCTCCAGGCAAAGGGATTTGGAAAGCATGGTAAACAACACGCTCTTGGTCCACTGCTTTATAATGACAAGTCTTAGCCCAAGGAGAGGGCTATAGTGGCTTGGATCATAAAGATCATAAATGTCCACCCAAAATGCCATGGTAAAGACTGAGTTGGTAGCCAGTAGCAGGCAGATGGGTAGATGAAAGAAACTGTAGACAGAAGTTAGGTCATTGACGGTGTTCCTTGAAATATTAGAACCCTTGCCCCTCCTACCTGACAGCTCCTGGGCCACTATGAGGTAAGTGTCTTTGCTCCATCACAGCACCTCCCCTGAGCAAGAGGGCAGTTCAGGAACTGAAACTGTGATCCCCAAAAAACTTTTTCCTATTTGAAGCTTTATTATCCTAGCTATTTTGCCACAGCGATAGAAAGCTGACTAATAAGAGCTCAATAACTCACTAATAACTAGTAATCTTAGGGTAGGCTGGCCGTGGTGGCATACACATTTAACCCCAGCACTCAGGAGGTTGAGGTAAGCAGATCTCTAAATTCAAGGCCAGCCTGGTCCACACTGATGAGTTCTAGGATAGCCAGCACTACACAGTAAGACCCTGTCTCAAAAAACAAGATTAAAAAAACAAACAAAAAATCAAAAATAACATGGGCCACGGTGCAGTGTGTGTGCCAGTATTCAAGAGAACCATGAGTTTTAACTGTGGCCAACTTGGGCTGCACAGTGAAGCCTTTCTGAAGCAACATACATGGGTTTAGAATATGAAATATCAGGGCTGGAAAGATGGCTCAGAGGTTAAGAGCACTGGCTGCTCTTCCAGAGGTCCTGAGTTCAATTCCCAGCAACCACATAGTGGCTCACAATCATCTGTAATGAGATCTGGTGCCCTCTTCTGGTGTGCAGGTACAGCTGTATACATAATCAATAAATAAATCTTTAAAAAAAAAAAAGAATGAAATATCCAAAAGTGTTAAGTGGTAACTACAAAGGAATATTCAAGATTAACACTCTTGAAGGAAAACCATTTTAGTGCTAATTTTTAATGGTGAGAGAACTTTCCTATGGGTCCATATATTCTTGTAGGACGACTTCAAAAAGTCAACGAGGCACGCTCAGATTCTGTCAATCAGTTTTTAATATATGTCATAGGTAGTTCATATGAATGCTTAAATTACAAAATTAGCTGCCACAGTCCGAATTTGTGGGACTTTAAGAAAGCTTATATTACTCAAAAAGATAACTAAGCACATAAATTTTGATTCTAAAATGTATCTTAAAGGTTTGTAAAACAATGTTAAGTCTAGAATCATATGGCCTTAAAGTGATTCAATTTTGTTATTCTTAATAACTTAATCTTGTGAACTGTTAAAAAAGCATACACCTGCATACCCAGTGCACACATTTCTATTAACCTAGACAAAGTCACATGAGAACTCCATATAATCCCCAAGGCAACAGCTCACACGGTTTTCACTGCAACTCAGTTACTGCCTCAGAACACAGAAAGCATCAACAAAAACCCACCACCCCGCAAAAAACAACTCTTTCCCATCCCAGCAAAAATTACCTGGTACAAACAGTGACTTAAAAAAAAAAATGCTTTCTCAGTAGGAAGCATTTATAAAATGCAGAGATCTCAACAAGCCAAATGCTTATGCAGATGAGGGCCTCTCCCCACAAAAGCTTCCACCTCAAGAGGCAGACAAAACTCTTGTCGCATTTAAGAAGGCTCACGTTTGGAAAGCATATTTATGCACACCAATGGCTGTGTTTCTAAAAGCACGTACCGGCCTCAACTGTGGGCAAGACAGAAGTGGAGAGAGAAGAAAGGAGCACGCAGAAGACAGACAGCAGCTTCTCCGTGAAGACCCAACAGGTTGCAGCCACCATGAAAAGCACTGTGACCTCACAGAGCAGTGATCTGAGCTAAGGGAAGCAGCTCACTTCTCATGCATCTTCCTCAGGAAAAACAAAACTACTCCAAATTCAGTGCTCTCACTGTCATTAGCTCATAGTACAAGGCAAGGAGAAACTGCTCCTGTACTACCCACCTCTAGAATCTTCTATGACACCTCTAGATTTCCTCCTATAATACTGTCTTAGCACGGCCCACACACGAAATACACACTGCACTATGTTCTAAGTCTCTGAAATGCATCACCACATACAGTGCTCTAAATTCCACTGTTTTCACAACTGTAATGTGGACACAGGAAAAACACCAAGCAATGTTTATTGTGCAACTCCAATAGAAATTCTTGGGATCTTGGTTTAGAGTCAGTCTCCACAGTTATTCCAATTGCCCAGTTTAAAAAAAAAAAATCTGTCTATAAATTCCATGATTGTTCTTCAAACACCAAAGTAAAGCACTGATAATTCATGTTATAATTTAAAAATATTTTAAAACTACACATACTTTATATACCATCCTTTTATAAAATAAACTAATTTGATTATCTGGAAGGAAATAACTGAAAGAGCCCTTTCAATGTATCTGTAACCTCTGTAGAACTCCAAACCGAGAGAAGAGGGGAGGGTGGAATAAGGATTTCTCAGTCACCAGGAATATGTTGACTTTAGGGGAGAAACGGACTCGTGCTTTTCCCGTTTCCTGTGGACGCAGACCTCTGGGATGACTTTACATGGCTTTCACTTTGATTTGCTTCATTTTCATCTGCTTCTTCTCCAGCTTCTTTTGTTCTCTCCTCAAAGCAGCTTCCTGTAAAATAGGGAGGGGGAAGGAAAGATCCAAATTAAGCTCTAAGCACACACTGAAAAAAACTGGGGGCTGGAGAACCAGCTTGGTGGCTAGAGCTCACGCTGCTCCTGCAGAAGCCACAAGTTCTGTTACCAGCACATGTTGGGCAGCTCACTTGAGGCTGGTACTTCAGCCTCAAGGGAGTGGATGCTTCTGGTCTCCGTGGGCACCTCGACTCACCCATATTACTCAACGATCTTTTGGAGAGTTGGGAAGGAGGAGTGGATCTCTTCATACAGTTCTGGCTTTCCTGGAACTCACTGTGTAGTCCAGGCTGACCTGGAATTCATAGATATCTGCATACCTCTACCTCCCAAGTGCTGCTGGGATTAAAGGTGTGGGCCTTTTATTCAAGATCTTGGTCTTGCAACCCAGGAAACATTTTTGCAGATACATATGAAAATAAGCACTAGCATTTGGAAGACTAAGGCAGGAGGATTACACTTTGAGGCTAACTTTGGCTACATAGTTCCAGGCCAATCTATGCTATGAGACATCGTTTCAAAAGACAAAAACATTGCCAATTCATTCATATGTCAGCAAATAAAAATTAACAAGAAACAAAAAAACATAATCAAATCTTTTTTTTTTTAAAGATTTATTTATTATGTATACAACATTCTGCCTCCATGTATGCCTGCATGCCAGAGGAGGGCGCGCGATCTCACTACAGATGGTTGTCAGCCACCATATGATCGCTGGGAATTGAACTCAGGACCTCTGGAAGAGCAGCCAGTGCTCTTAACCACTGAACCATCTCTCCAGCCCCCAGATAATCAAATATTAATTTAGATAGAAACTCATCAAAGTTTTTGCCTTGCATGTGTTTCTTTTCTTTGAAACAAGGTCTCTTACTAAGTTACCCAAGCTGAACTTAAATTCAAACTCCACCCTCTTTTAAATGATAGTCTCATTATTTAGCCATTGCTAACCTAGAAATTGCAATTAAGACCATGAATGGAGGCTAAAGAGATAGTGTAATGTTTAAGACTATTTGTTGCTTTTCCAGAGGACCTGAGTTTGGTTCCTAGCACCCACCAGGTAGCGCACAATCACCTTTAACTCTGTAATTCGAGCTCCAACCCTATTTGGGCATCTCTTATCCACAAGTAGACACATTATTAAAGATAAAAACAGGTCCAGCAGCCGGGCGGTGGTGGCGCAAGCCTTTAATCCCAGCACTCGGGAGGCAGAGGCAGGCGGATCTCTGAGAGTTCAAGGCCAGCCTGGTCTACAGAGCAAGTTCCAGAACAGAGCTATACAGAGAAACCCTGTCTCAAAAAAAAAAAAAAAAAAAAATTAATTAATTAATTAAAAAAAATAAAACCAGAAGCTAAAGAGACAGGGCAGTCAATGGAGCGCTTGTCTTACAAGCACAAGGACCCGAGTACATCCTAGAGCCTAGAGTGGTGGCAGGCGCTTGCTGAGGAGTGACACTGGCCAGGCAGCCTAGCCTACTAAGTGAGTGCAGAGAGAGTACAGAGAGATATCCTGTCCCTATACACCCCTCTTCCCAGCAAAAACACAGGACTAGTAAAGCACTTTCCTAGCATGTACAAGGCTCTAAGTTTAACTGCCAGCACAACACACAAAGATGGACAGCACCTTTCAAATGACTCCTGAGTTTGTGCTCTGTACACGTGTCTGTGTGTCTTTCTTTACCACCACCCCAGCCCTGTCCGTCTGTCTCTCCAAACAAAATCATGAAAGCATGAGGACATGAAAGAAAGCAAGAAAACAAAGCAAGAAAAAACCCACAAGGGTTTGTCTTTTAACCTTATTACATAGAAAAGAAAGAGAGAAAGAAAGAGAAGGGGGGAGGGGAGGGGAGGGGAAGGGAGGGGAGGGGAGAAGAGGAGGAGAAAGAGAAACCCAGATGGCTCAGAGGTTAAGGGGTTAAAAGTTAAGAGCATTGGCATGGTGGTTCACAGCCATTTGTAATGAGATCTGATGTCCTCTTCTGGCCTGCAGGTGTACATGCAAATAGAGCACCATATATATATATATATATATATATAAACTTATAAAGGAGAGAGAGAGAAGGGAACGGAAGGGAGGAGAAGGGAAGGGGAGGAAAAGAAAAGGAAGGGAGGAAAGGAAGCAAGCATGAGGCACAGGAGCAGCACTAAGGGTTCCTGAGCCGCACAGGCAGCATTAGTGACTGGCTATTGGCAACCACACGGTCACACAGCAGCAACTCGGAGCCTCCCTTACTCTAAAAAATGTTATTCAAGACTCAAAAATTCTCATCTAAACTCACATCTTCCAGAACTTTGTTCTCTTTTTCATTTGCAAGGCTTACAGTTGGACTTTGGCATCTTATTTCAGGAAATATGAGAATATACTGAATTTTTTAAAATGTAACATACTATTGTCCAAGAATCACAAGTTTGGAATATCAGTTATATAAGAAACAGAAACCAATAACAAAACCCACAGAAACACTAGTATTCACTAATTCTGTATCAAGCCCTAATTTTAAATGTCAAGTTTATTTAAAATGTGAGGTGTGTATGTCAGCTTATTTAAAGTCCCTGATTTCCTTCTAATTGTTTGGTCTGAAATGGAGCTGTGCTGGGGAAAGAGGGGAATCCACTCACTTTCCAGGGGCACGAACGCAGCTTAGGACGACTGCGAGAGGAACACGGTGCTGTCAGATGACCACATTTCCCAACTTTAGCCCGGGTGCTTTCTGCACAGAATTATCAGAGACAGTACAGCACAAACAGGCAGCTGGATAATTAAGATTTATTTATTTTCATGTGCACTGGTGTTTTGCCTGCGGGTGTGTCCAAGTGAGTGAGCCAGATCCCCTAGAACTGGAGTTACAGACAGCTGTGAGCTGCCATGTGGGTGCTGGGAATTGAACTCAGGACTTCTGCAAGAGCAACCAGTGCTCTTCACCTCTGAGCCACCTCTCCAGCCCACATCTGGATAACTAAAAACAAAACAATAGTTTTGGGAAATTCTCACAAAGCCTCAACCTTAGACAAAGAACTACAAGCAACTAAAGAACTCTGAGAGCAGGAGAAATAATCTTCCCCAGGCAAGAGCACACCAACTAGTTACCCAATACTAAAAGGACAGTCCAGAAAATATACAAAAAAACACTATAAAGACTGAACAGGTTGTGTTTATACATTTAGATACACACACACACACAACAGCAACAACAACAAAGAGAGAGGTCATGAGCTTCAAAGAGAGCTGGGGGAAGGGCTAGGTATATGGGAAGTTTTGGGAGGACGAAAAGAGAGAAGATATAACATAAAAAACATATAAACCAGACCCAGCAGCCTCAGTGGTAGGGAGCATCTCACCTCCAGCCTGCGCTGCTTCTCAGGGTCTTCCTCATTCATGATCCGCTCCTTTTCGGCTCTTTTCTTCTCCTCACGCCGCGACTGCGCAGCCTCCTGTCTCTGCACGTGGGTCAGTTTCAAGAAGTTCTCTTCCACGCGGGCCCGGTTCTTATCTGCTCTTTGTTTACCCTTCCCCAGGAAACAAAGTCTTCATAAGAAACCAGTTTCCATCCCACAGGAGAAAACCCCACTGAGCATTCCTTGGTAAAACTACTCCCCCTTGCATGTCAAGTCAACTAGACTCAGTCGCTGCAGCCACTGGGGAAAACCAACCATAAAAGGTGCCGGTTTGTAAGAAAGGCTTTGGGTCTTACTTCTCTGTTGAGTCGAAACTTTTTGGCTTTGTCAATAGAATAAATCACCATGTTCATCAGGGGTAGCAAAGCCTCCATATCCTTTGGGTACGTGTTACCTGAGCCAGGCACTGGAAAACAAAGCCATTTTCCTACTGAGTTAATGGCAGCATTAACACTTCTGGGTTGGCAGACTTTCTTAATGCTAACAGACTAGCTCCTTAGAGGAACCCAGAAACCAACAAGGAGGAATGATTAGCGATGCTGTAGTTTTAAAGCTATTATTTCAGAATGAAAAATAATTGAAAACCAGTTTCTAAGAGGCTAAGAATTAGCCAGACAGGACCCAGATACTCACCATTAAATGTAAACAGTAGTGTCCTCTTAGTGTCGGGCAGCTTTAAAGGCTGACCCTCCCTGTCGTGAAAGAGAAGTCTGGTAAGAGATAAGCGAAGACAGGCACTTTCCATGCATACAAGCCAGCCATCTGCCTCAGCTGGGCAAACACCTGCAAGAACAGCACTGGACACACTGGGCATCTCTAAGTCAATGGTGATCACTGAGCCTGAGAGCACTTTAAGCTCATCTACCCCACTCTGTGCTACATTTGAAACCTCAGTGATGTCCCCAGTGGGCAGGATATATTTATTCCCTTTCACCTGAGGAGTCAGAAATATGCCTGTATTTAAATCTGAGGCCATATTTTAAATATTTTTGCTTAATTTTTAAATTTCTAAGCTTATATTTATCTTACGTATATGAGTGTTTTGCCTGCATGTATGTATGTAGTATGCAGTGCCCACACAGGCCAGAAAACGGTGTCAAACCTCTTGCAACTGGAATCAGAACAGCTTTTAGCATCCACGAGGGAGCTGGGAGCCAAGCCATGGTCCCTGATCTTCTGCATAAGCAACACACTCTCAACTACAAGTCATCTCTCCAACCCTCAACTTCTGCTTTTAATCCTAGTCATTATTCTCTAAAAGCTGAGGCATACAGTATAACAATTACTTAATAGCACCTGCATTGTATCAGGTATTACAAGAATCCAGAGTGTTTCCTGTGGAAAAGGCTATGTATGTTACTGAAAACACATCACTTTATGTAGGAGACTCAAGCATCCTGAGAACTTGGTAAGATGCGGGTTATTCAACCAACAATCCCTCATGGACTCGGAACAAGTACTGTTTATAATTTTCTTCTGTCATTATCACTGCAAATTTTGACTGTCGAACAATTGGCTTCTGCTCCACTGCAAACAAAAGGCTTGGTGAAAGCTATAATGCAATGCTTGGTGCCTGCTGTTATTACTAAATTTACCAAGGCGAGGATGATGCAACATCATCTCAAAGCATAAGGACCTGAGTAATCTCCACATACAACTAAATCCAGAATACATTTTTGTTGCTGCTACTCTTATTCTGGTATTGGAAAATGAACACAGCTCCCAGAACGTCTGTTGTTGACACCGAGTCTCACTGCTTATCTCTAGCTGGCTGAGAACTCACTATAGAAACCAGGCAGGCCTAGAATTCAGAGATCCTTCTGCTCCTGCCTCTAAAAGCTGAGATCAAAGACTTGTGCCACCACGCCTGTCCAGAATGGCTTTTAGTTGTACTCAATCCCACAGCATATGAGACTAGCCTGGTCACAACTCATTCTCTAGCAGAAGTATATTTAGTTATGCTTTCCAGAGACTGGCTGCAAATTCAACGAACAAATCCAAGCCCATGAACAATACTGTACACCCAAACAATACTGCCATAAAACCAGAAACTATGGTTTTATATGTCATTATAGTCAGTGTCATTTGAAAACATTCAGCTGTTCAAAAGCGAAGCGAGAAAAGATGATAAAATATGAAATACTTAGATTTGTATTTAAAATCAAACATCAGAAATTCAGAAATGGGAAAGGGTGTGCCAACTGCGATGTCTTAGCACCAGCCCTTCCTTGTGAACGTCACTGGGTCAGTGATACAAACTTGCTGGCTCGGAGAGGCAGTCAGTGTCTTCTCATAGTGCGCTAACTGGGAGGCCATTCGTTACCAAGTTTACTTCCCCACTTGATAAGGAAACTGCAGAGGTCCCTTGTAGCATTCTAACATAAAACTAATAGGGAAAATAAATTTTAATGCTTTATTTCATACATACTCTTGCATAATCTTTGGACCAGAAAACTGGTCTGAAAAATGGACGGATTCAATCTTGTCAGCATAGTGTGTAAGAAAGTGAACCATCTAAAAAAAAAAAAAAAAAAGAAAAAGGAAAGAATATTAACTAGAGTTTGGCATTTCCAAGCTTTTATAGTCACCTTTAAATCCTTACTTTTATATAATGTCATTCAGTCATTCAGACTAAAACACTCTTTTCTTAAAAAACAAAAAAAACAAAAAACCTAATGAGCCATCAGGTCAGCCCTCAACTTTAGCTTAAAGAAACGCTTCTCTGTAGCCATCCTCCAGCCTTAGCCTCTGCCATGACGGGATCACAGTGCCTGCCCTGTGTGCCCATCTTTACTTATATGAACAAACTCAAAATAACTTAAATGTCACCACCAAAGGATTAAGGCTGTAATCTTTTCTTTAAATTTATGTGTATTGGTGTTCTGCCATGGGTGTCGGGTCCCCTAGAACTGAAATTATAGATAACTGTGAGCTGCCATGTGGAGGCTGAGAATTGTGCTGGAACTCAAGAGCCATCTCTCCAGCCCCAAGGCTGTAATCTTTAAAACAAAACAAAAAACAACAAAAAGTCCACCAAAGCACCTGAAAGTAGGCTTGGAGTGTTAGCACATTCTTTAATTTTAGCATTTGGTGGATAGAGGCAGGCAGACCTCTTTGAGCTCCAAGATACACAAGGCTACATAGTGAGACTCTGTACTGTCTCAAAAAACAAAACAAGCCGGGGCAGTGGTAGTGCATGCCTTTAATCCCAGCACTAGGGGAGACAGAGGCAAGCAGATCTCTTGAATTCAAGGCCATCCTGGTTACAAGAGCTAGTTCCAGAATGGGCTCCAAAGCTACAGAGAAACCCTATCTCGAAAAACCAAAACCAACCAAACAAACAAACAACAAAAAACAAAACAAAACCCCAAAACAACAGCAGCAAAACCCAAACCAAACCAAAAGCCTTTAAAAGTCATTAGTTCTTTTGGAGAAAACTTTTTATTTTACTGTAAGAATGTGTGTGTGTGTGTGTGTGTGTGTGTGTGTGCATGTGCTTGAGCACAATGCACTTGGGAAAGCCAGAAGAGCGCCATATCCCTCAGAACTGAAGTTATGGGACCCTTGGCTCGCCAAGCAGACACTGAGATACACACCGGAGTCCTTATGGTTTGACTGCAGTGCCAACTGCCAGGTTGTCTGCTGACTGACAGCCCTCTGACGGGTTATGACCAGTGTGAGGAAGGGGTACACTGCTGTAACTAACGTACGGCATCGGAGAGGACCTGGTTCGGCTTCAGGGAGGTACCTCCTCAACATGAGAGCTGCTCAAAGCCTCATTAAAACGGCGTGGCTTTGCTACTGCTTCTAGAACAAGTAAAGGCTGTGCTGTGTTTACCCAATCGATCAAAATCAGCTAGGTGATTCTAAGGATCACAGAAAATGTTTACCATGAGTGGTCAGCACACTTTTTACACAGATTATTTACCTGCTGTTTCAAAAATGAGTAAAATAAAATTTAGTATGCGATTTTTATTTACTTATTCTTTTGGAGACAGAGTCTCTAGCTGTACTCCTTAGCCTGTCTGGAACATGATCCTCTTGCCTCAACCTCTGGAGTTGCTGCCATTACCGCTGTGCACAATGCACACATCTCCACTGCATTTACCGCTGTGCACAATGCACACATCTCCACTGCATTTACCTTTGTGTCCATCATGCCCTCTGTGACTTCTCCCATTTCCGACAGGATGGCCAACGAGTCTGGCAGTCCATACTTTGCTCCAGACTTAGGTTTATCACTACAGAACTCGCTCTGGAAGAAGAAAATGAGAACAGGAAACATGCTATTCTATGATACAGACTTTCCTCAAAGGTTAAGTATGTTCTGCCTATTCTGGAGTGGTGCTTAACATCTGAGGGACGGAACGGTGCTGTGCTACACAGCTGAACTTCTCTGTAATAAAGAGGCAGTGTCTACAGACATTGATATTGGAGCAACTTGACATACCAGATCCTGCATCTCTTTCTGCAGCCGCACCAAAGCTTTGCGAGTGCCAACAGCAAACACATATGTATCCATGTCCTCATCATTCATGGTTACTTTTATTTGCTTTAAAAAGAAAACAAAAACATGACTTACTTGTTAGGATCTATGATGGGTAGATTTCTAAAAGGCTCTGAAGAGTTCAGTCTTTTCTCCCCTAGAGCAGGATTCATGGATATAATGGCAGAAAGTTCTTCACCAATTGATTCAAATTAACAAAAAGGGCATTGTCCTGAGTATATCACATAAGTATTAACAATAACTTGGCCCTAGCTAAAGCAGAGAATCCTTGGGGCAAAAGTGATCATCAAGGGATGGCTATAAGGTCTTGAGGGTAATGCCTTCAGGACGCGAGTACTCCCCAGTCAGTAGGTATTGAGAAAATAGGTACCTATAATACAAGGGACTGAATTCCGACAAAAATCTGAATGGGCTTGTGAGAAGGAAACACAAGCCTGGCCCACACTGTTTTCTGCCCCCTAGATCTAAGTTAGACCCAGCTAACTTACACTGGGCCACTTATGAACTGACACTATGAGACAGCAAATGGTGTTGGGTTTATTGATTTGGTTTTGTTTTTGTTTTTTTTTTTTTTTGTCTTTATTTTTAAGATGGGATCTCATATTTTTTTTTTTTTAAATTTTGCTGGGAATGGGAATGTGTGCCTTTAATCTCAGTACTCAGGAGGCTGAGGTGCTGTGGGATAATGTAGATTATTGAATCTACTTTTACTGAGGTAGGCAGAGCTCTGTGAATTTGAGGTTAGCCTGATTTACACAGTGAGACTGTTTAAAAAGGAAACAGAAAAAGATTTCTTATTCCTATCCTATGTTCATGAGTGTTTGCCTACACGCAAATCTGTGCACCATGTGTGTGCACCACTCCTGAAGGCTAGAAGAGGGCACTGGTCCCCCTGGAACTAGAGTAACTAATGGTTATAAGCTGACTGTTGGTGCTGGGAATCAAGCTCAGGTGCTCTAGAAAGTAGCCAGTGCTCCCAATCGTTGAGCCATTTCTCCAGCCCCAGACGGTACTATTTTTTAAGCTGTTCAGTTTGGTGGCAAATTGTTATGAAGAAACACAACACTAACAAGTTCATACAGAATAGTCAAGTGCAAAAGTCAACAACAAACAGGATCCAAATGGACAGGGTGATATAAGAATTATATCTTGAGCCAGGCAGTGGTGGCACACGCCTTTAATTTCAGCGTTCAGGAGGCAGGGGCAGGCGGGTCTCTGTGAGTTCAAGGCCAGCCTGGTCTATAAGAGTTAGTTCCAGGACAGGAAGGAACCAAAAGCTAAGGAGAAACCCTGTCTCAAAAATCCAAAAAAAAAAAAAAAAAAAAAAAAAAGAGTTATATCTGAGTTTTGCTTCAGGCTCCTGGCACCAAGCTAAAACCTTCAGTATGCTTTATTATTTACTGGGAACCCCTTTCTATCAATCCAAGTTGGTGTCCAAGTGGCTTCAGGAAAGGGGCTGATCATGAGATGGGATAAATGCCAAGGCCTGGAACTGTTCAAGGCCCTGTTCAAGGCCCATGTGGGGAGCACTGAGCTCTGCTCTGCAGAAATCTGGAACCACATTCAGGAAGTTCCCATACTGTAATGCTGTGAATTTGTTAAAGGGTGGCGTGCTAGAGACGGTAAAAAAAGCTCCACATGTCCTGCCATTTTCTGGCAGTGTCTCAGGGTGTAGCTCTGGTCAGACTGGAGCTCGCTATGCACACCAGGCTGTCCTGGAACTCACAGAGATTCACCTACCTCTGGCTCACAGGTGCTAGGATTAAAGCTGTGCACCATCATACCTGGCATCCCTCATTGTTTCCAGTTGCCTATTGCTGAGTTGTGTCCTTAATAAATCAGTAAATATAAGCAAAGGTTTTCCTTGAATTTGTGAATCATTCTAATAAATTATTAACCCTGGAGGGAGGTGATGGGAATGCTTAGTTCATAGGTGATCAGCCAAAAGTCATGGTATGGGTGGCCTAGGGTTTGAAATTTCCTCCTAAGTAGGAACAATGGGGGTCCTGAACCCTTCAACCTATGACCTGAAGGTAGCAGTGTCAGAATTAAATTGTTAGATCCCAGCTGGTGTCTAGAGAATCCAAGAACTGGCCATTGTTGGAAAACATACTTAATATTCTGCATTGTAACAGGCAATGTTATAAACCTAAGAAGTCTGATATGATAAAGCACGGTTCTATTTATACTAATTATATTTCTTAATGGTTGGGCCAAATCTTTAGTATGTGGAAGAAAGGATATGTGGGGCTAGAGATAGATGGCTCAATGGTTAGGAGCACTTGCTGCTCTTGCAGAGGATACAGGCTCAGTTCTCTGCACCCACATAGTAGTAACTCTAGTAACCAACACCCTTTTCTGACATCCTTGGACACACATGTGGTACACAGACAGATATGCAGGCAACACACACACCTAAAAATTTAAAATATTTTGCCATGTGGTGGTGGCACATGCCTTTGAGTCCAGCACTCAGGAGGCAGAAGTAGGTGAATCTCTGAGTTCAAGTCTACATGAGCTAGTTCCAGGACAGGTTCCAAAGCTACAGAGAAACCCAGTCTTGAACAACCAATAAATAAATAGTATTTTGTAAAAAGAAATGAAGTGATGCTATGTAGGGAACAGATAGCAGCTATATAAATTTAAAAAAAAAAAGATTTCTATTCTTCTGCGTTCACAGACAATTACAGAATTCAGAAGAAGAAAAAAGGCAAACAATAGCAACCCTGTCTGTGGAGCCACTCTTTGGGAGAAAGGCAAGGAATGTTTTTGACAGAGCGTACAATTTGCAGATTAATGTTAATCTAATAAATGGAAGACAGTACATCCAATAACCTAGATTGTGATTTGAGCTCTTTCAACCAAAATTAATCATCTGATTCAACACACACACACACACACACACAAAACAAACCTAAAACAAACAAAATAAACTTTGAGAAGTAACCTAGTATTTTTGTCAAAGACACAGTATTCTTAGGGCTGGAGATGTGCTTAAAACGGCTTAAAATGTTCTCCTTGCAATGCAAGCCTGAAAGCCTGAATTTGATCCCCAGACCGCAAGATGTAAGAAAAGAATTGACTCTGACCTGCACACATGTATGCTGCTATGCATGTTCCCATATTTACACACATAGATAAATCCTAAAACATAAAGGAAAAGTGCTCACAAGGAGACCAGGACACCAGGGCACACTATATGGGCAACTGTTCTCTCTGTAAGGATACTCCGGCTGTTACAGGCGGTGACAGACATCATCTCCTTCCCTGCTGAGAGCAAGTGGAGTTGAACACTGAGAAAAAAAGACCATCTGCTTAGGCAGAAAAGCATCAGGCTTTCTGGCATGGACACATACTGCCAGGAGTTCCAAACACAATCCAGACAGAAACAGAACAGCTAAGAAAATAACTCAGTTGATACCAAGAAAACAAGCAGGAATACATACCACTTGATCACTCACTGGCCTCATCATCCGGGCCAGGACATTAAGTAAGTCTTGTCTCTTAAGGAACTGAAAAAATGAGAGAAATGAGTCGTTATCTTGCAGTTTAAACTTTCAGAAGGGCCTTGCAGGGGACTCAAATGCTTCATTTGCCAATTACTAGAAATATAATACTCAGACTTCCTTTAAATCAAACAAGGAAGAAGGAAGCACTAAATTTATATTAGCAGTCACATTTATAAAATGAAGGAAGGATGTATGTTAGAGCACAGTTCCCTACTTACCCTCAGCTGGATAAGCATGCCTTCACAGCACACTCGACCAGAACACCACAGGTTATAAATGTGTTCATTCTCCTGATTCAACTTTCCCGTGCTTGTGGCTTCTTTGTTAGTCCCATCATCCCCTAGGAGTAAAAGCACCGAATCTCACTCACTGAACTTTCGGATCACTTTAGGACAGCAATGCTTTGCTGTCGCATAGACTCTCCTTTGAAAGGAATTAAAGGACCGGCCTGTGGCTTTTACTTCAGTATTACTTTAAAGGTTTCATGCCTCAGTAGATTTGATGTATAAATTTAGCATCTGCTTCTTCACACATTAATTCATCTAGTCTTGAAGACATGCTCAGTGTCATTTCTCAGTCAACCATCTTCATAACAAGATTTGTATATAAAGCCTGGATTTTCTGTATGAGTTTCATTAATTCCAATTACTTCTGACAGAGTAGAGTTCAATGGCAGTTCCAACACATTCCAAATCTCCAAAATCATTATTTTATTTCAATTTTATACCAACTTCGGCAAACAACAGCTCCCAAAGTTTCCTGTGTAAAATTACCGATTTCCACTGTTCCACCACTTTCTGTTGCTATCCACTCACGTTTCTCTGTGATTTTATGCAGAGAGCTGAGAGAATGGTATCTGTCACTGCTACCAGTGCACAGTAGGCACCAAGGGCACAGACGGGTTTCTTTATCATCTGCTAGGCCAAGTATGCTGGGGTGCTGAGGGCTGCTGCACAGGCCAATAGAGGTTGGACTTCTCTTTACTTTTAAAACTCTTTATTGTCTCCATAAAAAAAGTTATGGACTCTGGCATGAAGAAGAGGGAGGGCAATGAGCCAAAGAATGCTTCCCCACTGGCCCCACCCCCAAATTCCTTGATCAAAAATACCCTTTAAAAACTACTGAACAGGGAAGAGAACATTCATTCATTGGTAAACAGGTAGAGAGTTCTAATAACATGGCTGCAATTTAACTCCTTAAATAAGTTTTAACATCAGTTTCCTTTTAACAAAAATAAAAAGTATATCCAATTAACAGTGTTGCAACAAAAAGCAATTTTAAAATGTATAACAAAAAAAGAAAGGAAAGAAGAAAGAAAACATATGTGAGGCCTAATTTAGTAGCGCACACCTTTAATTCCAGCAATAGGAAGGTAGAGGCAGGGGAATCTCTGTGAATCTGAGGCAAACTTGCCTTACAAGGCAGTCCAAGGTGGTCAGGGCTACATAATGTACCAGAAAGACAGCTCAGCTGGTGAAGACACTGATTACCACATCTGATGACCTGAACCCAGGTCCCACATGTAGAAGGAGAGGCTGATTCTCACAAGTTGTTTTCTCTGCTTATGCTGTCACAAGCATCCCTGTCCACTTCCAATAATTAATTAATAACAAATTAATTAAAGAAACAATTAAAACCACCAAAACCAAAACAATGCATGTAAAGTTCATAGAAAAATGTGCACACAGAGCAGCAGACGGAAGGGAGTGTATTACTAAGGAGAGATAAGGTGCTAAGTGAGTGTGAAGGGTGTCCAGCCTCATAATCCACGCTACGCTGAGCGTGAAGGGCGTCTAACCTCACAATCCATACTATATAGCTAGCTACTCTACAGACTTCATGTACATCGGTGGAGCTAAAAATCAAAGTACCCAAAACTTAAGAAATTGTGAGGATTTTCCTGTTCAAAAAATTGAACTGAAATCATTTATCAAAATATCTAACATGGGGCTGGAGAGATGGCTCAGTGGTTAAGAGCACTGACTGCTCTTCCAGAGGTCCTGAGTTCAATTCCCAGCAACCACATGGTGGCTTACAGCCATCTATAATGAGACCTGGCGTCCCCTTCTGGCTTGCAGGCACACGTGGAAGGAATGCTATACACATAATATAATAAATAAATATTAAAAAAAAATACCTAACACGACGAAGTTTCTTGTTTCAACCAGAATTTTAACATCTTGCTTTTACACTGACCGTATCCAAAGCTATTTAGCAATTATATTGTTGACTAACGAGAAGATGAGTTTAAATATTTAATTTACTTATACACAAAACCCAACTAAATGGGATCCTTGGAGAAAACAAATGCATTGTAGTGAACATTCCAAAAAGTGTTTAGCTACTTCTGCTGAGGGGACAAACTATTCTTTTTTTTTTTTTTTTTTTTTTTTTTTTTTTTTTTTTTTTTTTTTTTTTTTTTT